CACAGAGGGTTTATCTATCACACATGTTAAGGCTTTGTCCTGTATCAATGCTAGAGGAAAAAAGACGAAATACCTCACAACTGTTTGGGATTTTTTTTTTCCTTTTCTCCAACCTCAGAGTGTTCGACTGGAGCATTAAGAGGGATTAAACTAGTTGCAGATAAAAGTGGAGCAGGCGGTGATGAGGACCGCATGGAGATCATTTCTGTTTGTGACCTGGTTTTTAAAGGAGCCTGGTTATGATACTATAGTCACTGTTTTTTTTAAAACAATGATCGATTCTTGATAGCATCTTAATAGGATCATAAATAAGACATAACTCTAATTCTAAACTTAAATAAAGTGGTTTGTGACCTTTTCTCCTTGTTCTGCTGTCAAAATGTAAAGAAATAAAATATTCCAAGTCAGAGTAAATATTTTACTATCTTCGATTTCTTCTCCATATTTATAAGCCAAGTTGAAAGCCAGAGATCTGAGGTCAAGCTGGCAGAGTCCCATTTTCCAGTATCGAAGTCACAGAACTTGAACTCACGCCTGACAGACTCAAGCTCGTTTCGCTTACTCCAGATCTTTCTTAAAGGTCCAGATTTTATATATTTTCGACTCTGTGAGCCATGTGATGACGGTCACCAACCCTCAATGGTGCCTTTGTTTTCTGCAAGCAGGCCGGGGCCACACAGAAACAAAGGAGTGCAGTTATAATCCAGGAAGATGTGATTTATGGGCACTGAAATTTTATTTTCATATTAGATTCTTGAGTTCCTAAATATTATTTTACTTTCCCCCCAACCATTTAGAAATATCTAAACATGTGTAACCCATGAACACATATAGAGGTATCAGGATAGATTTGACCCATTCGTCATAGTCTAGATTCTCAAGGTCAAACTTTCAACTTGTTAAAGAAATTATTTGGACACAAAAATGGTAATGAAGGAAGAGAACTACTTCAAGACTGTAGTGAGAGTGAAGGGGTACTGGGTTCAAGTCCAACAATTCTGGGTTTATAACCAGTGAGCAGGATGGGTTGGGCCTGGGGATGAGACCAACGGGTTAAGGTGTTCTTACTGAAATGACTGCATTCTGGCTGAAGGCAAGATCAAAAGCCTTACACATCAAAGGCAGAGGATGCGAAGTGTGATCCAGAATGGAGGGCAGATTTCTCTCTAAACAGAGTCAATCAGATTCCTGCAAACACGAGCTGGGCAGGCCCAGCGTGGGCCAAGGTAAGAGACCGGGTTAAGAGGAGGCTCGGAGCCCGGCTGAGTTTGGTGAAACCACACCCACAAACCTCCCTCCTAGTCATGGGTATAGGAGATCTAGCCATGTACAAAGACACCGAAAAATCAGGTGAGAACTAAGCACATGCGCCTGTTTTTATTAGACCAAGCTTGCCAAAAATGTAGGATCCTAAAGATGTCAAACCTTCACCATGACTTATGCCAGGCCACCCCATAATAACGCCGCCTGTCCTTTCCCCACTACTTACAATGAGCAATTTATGCAGTAAGGAAATAGCTGGCAGTTGTCTTCACAGATGAAGTCAATGCCGTCTCGTTTCTTTGCCAAAAAAGCCAGGGAAACCAATTGCTGGGCTTCTCTCCCCCGGGGCGACGCAAGGCCGGTTGATGCAGACGCCGGGCAGGGCTCCGCCAGAGATGGGGAGTGGGGAGCCTACTGTAGTTTTTAAAAAATGGTAATTTGTTAAGAGTCTTGGCTTTTGGTTCTTTTTCACTGACACTCAAGCAGCAGTGCTTAAAACATTTTCAGACTAGATGTCTCTATGGAAACCCAAGAAAACATATATGTTTATGGTCAAATGATGGCCTAGAGCTCTCTGTCCTATTGGATCATGCTAGGCCATCAGTGATGTTGGACAGAACTTAAGACTTGTTTTTCTGAAATCCTGTCAATTCCAGTGAAAGTTATATAATTATTACTTTTGCTGAGACAAAAGTGAAGAGGGGAAAGAGACTATCTCTAAACATGTTCTTATGAGGAAAAAAAAAGGGGTTGGTGAATTTGGGCAGCCATCACGAAAGAGAAAAAATGCAACTGCATGATTGCACAGCTGCCTGTAAATGTATATCCTTAAATCTCCTTCTCATCAGTGTCAAACACACTTGCTTTAAAAGCTGTCACAATTCTCTCCCTTACAGACTGCTTACACGTGCAATGGGGTGGGGGAGAGGGGACAAACTATATAGTGAACGAATGAGTGCTTCTGAGCAGGTGACCAAAATGATCGTCACCTGTAGAGTGGGCCTGCTGGGAGCCTCCAGGTGTAAGATCATGAGAGCAACATGCTGCCCAGAACCCACATCATGAATCCAATCATGAGAAAACATCAAGCCAGGGTTTCGTTGGTAAGGAGCGTTCTATTATTTAGACAGTGACAACAATGACAAAGCAAGCAGCAGTCAAAGCTGGGGGGGAGAGCAAGGACTACTACCAACACTAGTCAGTGGGGCTGAAGATGGGCTTCAGCGAGAGCGCGCTAAGCATAACAAAGATCAGGGGTTCCAACCCCAGCACCACCCAGAAAACGTTCATGGCACAGAAGACAAGAAAGTCTATGTAAAAGATTCTGAAGATGTAAGACAACTAAATGCAACTATACAGTGGCTATGCAAGAAAATATCACATGATTTTTATCATATGATCATCAAATACTCAAGCACTTCTGGGTAAAAGCCCATGATGCATCATACGCGCACACACACACACACACACACACACACACATACACACGAAACCTCCAAAATGGTGAAAAAAATGAACAATTCTTGCCTATATTGGAGTTTTCCCTATGATATTCCAAATACAATTTGGGAAGAGGCACTTGTGCCAGAGAATAAGAAAGCACAAAGATACTCCAGCACAATCCTTTATCCGTGATTGAAGGCTGCCACCCATTATAGACCACCCATTCTCAGCAGAGATTGTGCCAAAAACCAGCAAACACTGGACACTATAGGAGCTCAGATGTAATCCTTTCCCCCAGTCTCTCTGAATAGGGCAGTGACTATAACCTTTTGGCATCCCACAACTTCCAGAACTATCTCATGAACAAAGAAAGTCTCTTGGCTGGTTGCTTAGGTGGTTCAAGTATCAACTGGAAGCACATTTTGGAGCTAGGACATCTTACCATTATGAGGCATGGTGAGTTGTTATACAGTATGTTACTCAAGAAACTAGAACACCTCTTCATACGTCCACAGCACCACATTAGCACATGGAAATGACTATCTGAAATTCTACAGACCTGATGTCCTAAAAGACCTCTTGAGGTTCTGCATCGGCACTGCAGTCTGCAATATTCTACCTAAATAAAGTGATCTCCCCAAAGGATGGGGGCAACTCTACTCTACCTCCATTCAAACATCCAGGTCAGTCAGTCAGTCACTGGATCATTCAAACAGAAGTCAACTAAATTGTTCAGCCATGTTTAGGAACTAAGCAATACTACTTACCATTCTCCAAAAACAGCAAAAGCAGAACGTATGTATACTGCACATTCCTAACCTTCCCTGCTTATCACTTTATTTTAATTCTTTAAGGAGTGATTCTATATATTATTCGTCTTTATGGTTTTTTAAATCTAGATAGTCTCAATCATTCAACCTCCCTCCTCAAAATAATTTCATTTATCCAAGTTTACCAAGAACCTACTGGTCACGAGATGCTCAGCCCGTCTTACTGGGTGGTACTCTACTCTCCTATAAATAATCTACAAGAAAATGATACAAAGACAATAAATGTAATGAACTCTGCATGCAAAACAACATTAAGGAGCCAAAAGTGAATTACGACTAACTGCAAAAAAAAAAAGAGAACAAGCTAATCAAGGCACTAACATTTAATGAGAAGGCAAATTTTAGAGTAGATAAAATTGAAGGTGCATGCATCATTGTTGTAGATTTGAAACCATGCATATCCTTCCTCATAAAATGTCTCAAATGCCGTTAAAAACACCACACGCAAAACCAAGCAATTATAAGTCCTTCGAAGCATGTAACTGTGATTAGCTGCTACTCTCAGCAACATAAAAATACTTCCACCACAATTTCATTCCAGTCTGTAAAGTAATTCAAAACAAACAAGTTGGAGACATCGCTCAAATGGCAGAAGCAACAAATACAGATGCTTTGTATCAAGGAAATGAACCCACTGAAGAAATGAACCCATCTGAGGAGCGGTCCTCCGGGGCCTGGCACTAGGCTTCTGGTGGAACGCTGAGGCCCCCTTCTGGGAAGAGACGTATACTGCACCCGGGGCAGCTCTGCCAAACGTCAGGACACTTCTTGCACCCAGTAACACTGAAAGTTTTGTTGTGGATATTTCAGTGCAGTTTCAAATTTTAGGTATTAAATTTAACAGTTATAACCTGTATTTTCAAACGAGGAACAGCTGATTTCGGATTAAATGTATCATGCTACTTAATTCTGCAACTGGCATTCACACCAGTGGGCATTCTTCTTTACCTTGTTCCTTTTTACTTTCGCTGTAACTTTTTGCTTTGACAGTGTCTTGTTGAACTCCCTCTGCCTTCCAAGTGAGGGGGTTACAGATGTGTATCACTATGCCCAACTGTTGTTGGAGCTCTTCACCCTCCAGTATATAACTACGTTTTTTTATCCATCTCTCCTTGTGAGAATACAATCTCGCTGAGGCAGAAGACCCTGTTTTGGTTCAGGGAACCAAAGAACTGTCTTGTTTATGTTATTGTCCTTTAATGCTTTGCCCCTTAAAAACAGAAATAACTTAAGATTCTATTATAGCAACATGGTACAATTTTTAAATGACCCTTAGGCACTTGTTTAAAAACATTTTTCTATGTATTTAATAAAATCAATAGATTTCACAGTCACATGTATACAGTGTATACAAATAATATACAATATAGAAAAAAGCCAGACTTGCCCAGCACTGGTGGCTAACACCTGTAATCCTAGCGACGAAAAAATGCTGAGATCTGAGGGTCACAGTTTGAAGCCAGGCTGGGGGGAAAAGTCCGTGAGACTCATCTGCAGTTAACCAACATAAAGCTAGGACTGGAGGTGTGACTCAAGTTTGAGCGAAAAAGCCAGAGAGTAACAACATCTTGAGTTCAAGCCCTAAAGCCAACACACACACAAACACACTCACACTCACGCAGCCAATACACTGGGAGACCACAACAGCTATAAAGAATGAAAATCCAACTCCACCTCCAAAAAGCCAGTTGTAAAGAACACACGTGACCATGGCTTTCTAGTCCAAATGAGTGCAGGTGATGGGGTGTGGATGGACACTGAAATCCCAGCCTGCACTCAGCTGGCATGGACTGAAGCTGGGGCTTAAAGACATGTACTGTTTGCTAATTCCTAAAACCTCAAACTTTAGTTTTCCCCCCCTTCATAAAAATGTTCTTTCAGCTGTGGAGAAGCTAATAGTTGTTTACAATTGTCAGCCTTTTAAAAAGCACTAATTTGTTCCCTGAAGAGCGCAAATGTTATTCTCCGTCTTCCCGGAGAATAACAAACACATAATATATGCTCCCTCCATGCCCGCAGCTTTTCAGGCTGGGGATTCCATCCAGGTCACCATGGGGCTTTCGTCTTTCATTACAAGTTCAGGATTTCTGACATTCCTTCTTCCGAACTTTTGATTTTGGTGCTGTGAAAAGAATAGAAAAAGAAATAGAAAAATGAGAACTAGGCTCTTATCAGATTCTTTCCATACTAACTTGCTTTTGATTTTGTTGTGTGTGTGTGTGTGTATGTGCACGGCAGTATGGGAGACTGAACTCAGGGCCTTGGCTTTTCCATTCAAGGCTGGTGTTCTACCACTTGAGCTAGCGCTCCAGTTCCAACCTTTTGCTAGATAATTGTAGCATCTCAAACTTTCTTACCTGGATTGGCTCCAAACAGAGATCCTCAGATCTCAGTCTCCTTTGTAGTTGGGATTATGGGTGTGAGCCACCAACACCCAGCCATACTGACTTGTTTGACCAGAGGTGCATTACATGCAGCAGGGGAAAACTAACCATTAGGATTTTCTTGCTTGTAGAAGGCCTTTAACAGTTCCACAGCTTCCTCAGCCCGATATCCAGGGATGCACTGATGAAATGAAGGAGAGAACGAACACAAACCTATGAACACATGGGCGGTGTCCATAAAAACACCAGTGCGTGCCCTGCTGCAATACACAGCCTCCAGACACATAGCTCCTTTGGAGATACTAGGACACTAGTAGAGGTGAAGATGTACATTTCAAGAAGAATGGACAAATTTAATTCACTTTATCATTTATCATCACTTTATCACAATTACATGAGTCAGGTAATGAGTACATTTCCTTTCATACAGAATGCAGTGGACGTCTTGACTAAGTCAAACACGGTAATCTTCTACTACTTGAAGTTGCCAGCTGTGGGATCTTGGGAAAAGTACTTAAACCCTCTGCGCACGCAAGTAGGTAATGACTTCACTTACCCAAAATACATTGTCAGGAGTAAATGACACAATCTGTAAATGCTTGGCACATCCTAAGTGCTCATTAAGCATCAGCTACGTTATCTACTTTTGTTAACTGGTGTCCTGATAAGTGATGGTATACGGGTGGGGTACCTGGCTCAGAGTGCCAACAACAAAGCTGCCCACAGAGGCTAAAGTGTCTATCTACTCTTTTACCTAAAAAGTCTGTCAGGGTTTGCTACATAAGATTTAACAAGTATGTTCAGTTTGTGTTTGGGATCCAAATGGAGAAAAGGGATCATAACACGGGAAAGAAGAAGGAAGGAACTGTGGGTGGTTCGATGGTGCAGGGAATACTAGATGTGAATGCTAAAAGCTGAGTGAAAGGGGCCAAGCGGCGTGCTTCAGGGAGGGTGACTGTCAGGGGGTGTGAGCAACCAGGGATGGACTGGCTGGAGAGTGGGGGAAGGTGGGGGCCAAGCACACAGGGCTTTCAGAGCTGGTCAGGAGAGTTTAGAACTGGCCCAGAGAAATCTTGTGAAATGCACACAATCACATATTTGTCCCTAAATGCAGTGCCTGGGAGAGGAAGGGGCCCACCCGCACAGACAGGAGGATGGGCCACCTCGGGGTGCTGTTCAGAATGAACCTCCCTTCCCAGAGTCTCAGCCGGCTCCTGCCTAGGCCGTATGAAACCAGCACAGGGTTTCTCCATAGAAACGGGAGAACTTCCACCCTGTCCCCTCACCAACTGCTGCCCTCCTCCCGCCACAAAACATTCCTGCTGACATGCTCAGTGCGAGATGCGAGTCCTGGAAGAGAAGGAAGCGGCACAACAGATTTTATTACCTGAAATGGTTTTCCCGTATTTGGTAAGTCAGCAGAGGCAACATTTAGAACGGAGCCACAGCCACCAAATCGTTCATTCTGACAGCCGTAGACGACCAGCGGGATTTATAAACAGAGTTAAGGCCCGGATAGGATGTACAGTATGGTGGCCACATGAGGGTGGGTTGAGATTGGCCACCCTGGACAATAGTTCAGCCTGGAATGAGTCTGGTTACACAGGACAAGGAGATTTAGGATAGTTAGAAATTACCATCTGATAACTGCAAAGAGAATTAAAACTGAGTGTATGGTTTCACAGTTGAATGGGTTCTCTGACTTTTCCTAAAGCACTTATTCAGCATCATTAGACAACCAGAGATAGGAAGTTAATCCCAGGACTTTCCTATCAACTAATTGCTTCCTGTAATTTCCCAAGCCCACCTGAGCCCAGTAGAAATAGACTATGGCCGAGTGACTAGGAGACAGGAGAGAATTCTAAGTTGCACATCCTTTATTGAGATTGTATGTTGTATTACATGTTAAAACCCCCTGTGGTTTTTTTTTTTCTTTTTATACTGGTACTGGGCGGGGGGGCCTTGGACTTAGAGCTTCACACTCTTGCTCAGCTTTTTCATTCATGGCTAATGCTCTACCACTTGAATCATACTTTTAGTTCTGGCTTTTTGCTGGTTAATTGGAGATAAAGAGTCTCATGGATTCGTCTAGGCTGGCTTTGTACCATGATCTCCACATCTCAGCCTTGAGTAATTACAATTATAGATACATGCCTCTAGCACTCTAATTCTGTGTTATTTTAACTTTATTTATTAATTTTTCTTTTGGGCAGTACTGGCATTTCTGTTCAAAGCATTGTGCTTGCTATGTAAGCATTCTGTTCAGCCTTTTTTTTTTTTTTGCTTTATTTTTTTAATCCAGTCTCAACTTTTCCCCAGGCTAACCAGAATCAAGATCCTATTTATGGTTTCTATATTGCTGTGATATGCACCAAACCTACCTGTTTATTGATCAAGAAGGAGGTTTGTAAACTCCTTGCATGGACTGGCCTCAAAGTGAGATCCTCTCCATCTCGGTCTCCCAAGGAGCTAGGCTTAGAGTTGTGAGCCACTGAGCCCAGCTTGTGCTATTTTTAAAGTAATAAAAAATTATTTGAAAATACATCATTTTAAAAGTACATGAAAATGCAGGAATGAAATTGAGTTTCTGAATTTTTACCATGATTCAAGTATCTCAGTCTCCTGAGAAGCTAGGATTGTAAGCCTGAGCCACTGGGACCTGACCTTTCAAACAAATGTTTCTCGAATACCGTTAGTGATAAGGCGTGTAGCTAAGTGATAAGAGTGCTCATCTAGCATGTGTAAAGCCCGGGTGTTTAACCCTTAATCACCACAAACAAACAAGCAAACCAACCCATCTTTAGCCATGACTACACTCAGTATTTGTTGCTTGCTCTATGCAAGAAACTCAAACAACTGCAAGTATATTCATTTCCATGTATGTAAAGTAGAATATTATAAAATCAATGCTTAGTTTATTTACTTTCAACTTAATTTTTTAATACTTTGGCATAGGTATTCATGGCAAAAACAGATAAACATATTCAAAAATCCACTATCCAAAGGCCAGGCACAGGTGCATATTTTTCAGACCTCCCCCTACCACTGACTTTAAATGAATTTGGGTGTCATCTTTACTCAACTGAAATTTGTCTTACTCTTTCCTTTCTCTGCCTTCTTTATTCAACAGTTCTACATTTATTAGTATGAAAAGAAATAAGTAACCTTACTATGTAAAAGGCTTTTCCTTTTTGGTTAGGATATACTGTATTTTACCACTTATTTCATTAAGCCTTGTGTTTTCATATATGTGCTTTCATATATTTGGTTGGGGTATAGGTCAAGGATATAGAATGTGCAAGGGAAAGGAAAAGGAAAAGGGGGAAGGAGAGGAAGAGGGGAAGGGGAGGTGAGAAGAAGGGAATGAGAGAAGGAGGGGGGGAGGAGGGAGGGAGGGGGGAGGGTAAAAGGAAGGAAAGAAGGAAGGAAGGGTGGAATGAATAGGTTATGTCATGTGCAGGGCCATTTTCCTGTTCACAGGAAGAGCCAACCCCGAACCTCTCTCTGGAGTCCAAGGATACTCATCAGGCGGAGAGCAGCTGCACACATAATGCACGGCTCCACAGTGACATACAACACGGTATGTTCAAACACGGCAGAAGGACTCTGGCCATTTCGTTGACACCAATCTAGGACTTGATCAATGGCCACCATTTCTGCATGTCGAGTAGCCTTAAGAGAGAGAGATTTACATTGATGCTTACATTGATTATGTTTCACATAACTGCTATTTTATAAACACCCAAAACACATTTATAAAAATCATTTCTAATGAATGAGGCTTCAGGACTGCTTAGCAGTCGACCGTCTACTCTCCATCTCCAGGTCTCATATCTCACCAACAGTTCCAGGAGAATCTGCCTTGATTCTCAGTTAAGTTCTTAGAGAGGATTTTCAATTACAATGTGACACTGACCAGTGTTCAATGTACTCATATACTACTACTTTGTTGAATGGCAACTCCTTTATCCAAGTACTTAAAGATAAAAATGTTTAAAAAGTACTATATCCACCAAAAAAAAAGGTGTCTATGGTCTCTGGTATTCTAAGGAAGCTTGAAATTCTTGTTCGTTTTTGCTTCCGTTTCAGGGCTCTTGCAGAGGTCACTCAAAGCTAACTGCTGCTTAGTCTCTTAGAATGCCATCACTTACATTTGTGGGATGCAGTTTTATATACTGGCACACTCTGGAGAAGCAGAGATTTGGTGATTAGTCCCCCATATATGACTAGGTATATACACAGGAGGCAGTAGCATGGGAGAAGTCACACAGAATGTGGAATTTCAGTTCAAATCCTGACAGGAACCCCACTGACTATGTGGTCTTACTATTATGTGGGCAAGTTACCTCCCTTCTCTAAGCCTTAGTTTCCTCTCTATTCAGTGGGGCGTACTGGTATTCACTCTCCCTGCCTCTTAGAACAATCTAATTCTATTCATATCCTCACTTTCCCTTTGGTTCCCTGATCAAAATACCTTAATGTGAACACTAGATCACCTATGCAATAATTATTTATCATGTCCATTACAATCACATGGCACTGCCATATCAATAATTTGTTGAAGTTCAAGATACTGTGCTAAATACATTCTGTGTAGGATAAAAAAACAACTGCCCACAACAAGCATAAAATCAGGTAGAGCCAATTGAAAGACACTCATATACCTATGACCTAGGGCCTGGTGTGAAGTGAAGACAGTGCTACGTGGAAGCCAGAGGCAGGTAGCAGCAAGCTGGCTGGGATTTGCACAGAGAATCCCAGCATCAAAAACTCAGAGATCGCCAGGCGCCGCTGGCTCACGCCTGTAATCCTAGCTACTCAGGAGGCTGAAATCTGAGGATCTCGGTTCGAAGCCAGTCCGGGCAGGAAAGTCCGTGAGACTCATCTCCAAAAAACCACTAGAAAACCAGAAGTGGTGCTGTGGCTCAAGTGGTAGAGCACTCGCTTTGAGCTGACGAGCACAGGGACAGCACTCAAGCCCAGAGTTCAAGCCCCACGACCGACCAAAAACAAAACAAAACAAAACAAACTCAGAGATGGAAGGTACTTTAGAGAAGACAGAGCAGTCCTAGCTGAAGCTTTCCCAATCTGAGTACTATTTAAAACTCACACTCATTATTCCCAAATGTATCTCCCCATAACGCTCAACAAATAACTGATGGATGGAATCAGCTCAGTCAACTCCTCCTTTCACTGCTGAGGAAATGTCAGCATTCACTGAGCATACAGGGCAAAGAGGAAGTGGTATGGTTTTAGAGCCAAAAGTGGAGCTCAGGAGTCCTCAGTTGGGGTTCAAGAGTATATTCAAAGGTTAATCTAAATGACACATGATACCAAAACAGATCCAGTTAAACTCAAGATGTGAAAAAAAAAATATATCCACACTGTGGGAGGTTGTTGGAAACTCTGTACCACTGAAATATCTGGTAAGGAAATAAATTCTTCTTAGACTGAGCATGGTGGTACATCTTGAAATCCTAGCTATTCAGGAGGTAGAAATTGGGACGATTATGCTTTAGAGGCCAGCCCAAGTTAAAAACAAACAAACAAACAACTAGTAAGACATCTTCATCTCAAGAAATGAGCTAGGCATAGTGTTATGTCCCTGTAATCTAAGCTACACAGAAAGCAAAAGAAAGAGGACTGCTGTCTGAGGTTGGCCCTGGGCAAAAATGTGAGACCCTATCCAAAAACAACTAAAGCAAAAAAAGGTCTAAGGATGTAGCTTAACAGGTAGAGCACCCACTTAGCAAATACAAGGCCCTCAGTACAAGCCCGAAGAGTGTCCCCCCCAAAAAAAAATAAAAAAGGAAATAAGCCCCTTTATATAATTCCTTTGTATCTCCCTCCAAAGTTATAAATTGAGGTTGATTTTTTTAAAAAGTTATTAAAAGGAAAACATTTAAAGGCCCTAAAGACTGTATTACAAGTTAAATTTATCTATTTTGTAATGTGGGATTTTCTACGTATTAGATTTGCTTAAAGTGGAGACAGAATTGTTTCTTGCTGACACTTAATATAACAAAATTCCTCCTTGGTTTCACTCAAGTGTTGAACTTTGTGAAACAGAAAATCCACAAGGATCTTAAAGCTCCACAGCTAAAACAAATTAACAAACAAACAAAAAAATCACTGTATCACCGTTACACTCAGAAACAATACCACAAGACGCTAAGGGCTCCTTCTCCAGCACAGACCGAGGCCCCCCACCTCACCATCCGCCAGCCAAGTGCTGTGAAGCCACACTGCCCCACCTCCGACGCCTCATTCACGTACATTTTTGGTTTGATTCACTTCATTTCTTCCCTTCCCCACGATTTCATTGTTGTAGACCATAAGACAGCCAACAGGAACTTCGGTATTTTCAAGGGCGTCTTTGGCCTAAAACAAAGTAGAAATGCCTGAGATGTAAAGTTCCGTACTTGAAAAGCCCACAGGGAAGAAACAGGTGTAGCATGGACAGGACGTAGGTTGTAGACTCACTGGACCTGCAGGAAGATTTGCAAATGCTAACACATTGTCCTGTGAGGCACATGAGCATTTGTCAGTTACAGTGACTGGATGTATTGTAAGCAACAAGATTCAATTAGTCAGACTTTTCTGGGCAATTTCAGTAACACATTTCTGGGGCTGTGATTGTTCTGAAGACAGAGTAATCACTGTGAGAAGCACAAGGAAAAACCAATCCCAAGTAACACCAAAAGAAAATGCAGCAAAGCTTTCCCTTTTCTCAAATCCAGCTCTTCTGCCATACTGAGGTGCTCATGTTCTGCACTGTGTGCCCATGTGCAGGAAGACTCTTCAAAGGCCCTGGCCTGACTTCTCACCTGGGAAGCACAGGGAGCCAAAGGAACATTACTGACCATGGCTCTTCAAGAGCCCAAAGTCACTTACTATTTACAAAGAGGTGAGAATCAACAACTTCTGTAAACCTTCCTCTGGAACGTGCTCCTTTGTGAAAATCCTATTTGCTTAATTTTTTTGCTTCTCTAAAATTATAGAACTGATCCCCTAGAGCCTCAATAGCATAAAGGTGATGAAGCTGGGTGTCACTTTGTCCCATGTTTATTGTTGTTTTTTGTTTTTGTTTTTGGAGGTGGTGGTGGTAGTGATTGAACTCTGGGCCTGGGCGCTGTCCCTCAGCTCTTCAGCTCAAGGCAAGCATTCTACCACTTGACCCACAGCACCGGCTTTTATCTGCTTATGTGATGCTGAACCCTGGGCCTCATGCATGCGAGGCAAGCACTCTACAACTGAGCCAAGTTCTCAGCCCTGTCCCATGTTTTTTATTCTTAGTGAGACAATCAAAGTTTAGGTGTACTATTAACATTTTGAAAACTCTTTTCTTAATGTATTTAATATACATATAATTCATGACCCAAATTCCTGATGACCCAAATTTCACAGAAATATACACACAGACACAAACACTCCTATGTGCATAAAACAGATGAAATCTCCTGAAGTCCTGCAGAGTGTGTCAATGAAATATGCCTACTTTTAATACTGTACTGTAGTGACGCCAGGTGTTCAGAGGAGGAAACTAGAAACGTGGACCTTCCCTGTTCACTTTTTTGTTTGTTTTTGTTTGCAATTTCCTGTGACTTATAATTATTTCAAAATGAAAAGTTACAAAGTTGAAAAAGTTAAAGGTTGAAAAGTAAATATAAGTAAACAAGTACCACCTTGCAAGGGAGATTGGGAAGGGATGCCTACTGAAACAGAAGGAAAATAGAGTATTTAATACCATAAAAGACCTCAGGAAACGCAAGGACAAAAAACCACTACGCCAAAAGAGATAGGGGGTCTACTGCCTTGCAGGATTCAGTGACACAGAGCAGAGGTCATTTGTATGGGATGGGAGAAGTAAGGAAGTGGCTTGAAAAGTGACATTTCTATGGGTTAAACTTCTGGCTTCCTACTATACTTTTCCCAACAAACCTCTTAAGAGGCAATGTTATGTCTCTGTCTCAAGTGTTCCAATTCTGAGGACTTGAAAATACAAGGGCTAATGACTATCTGAAAGCCTGGTTTTCCTGGGACTATTTTAAGCACTTCCTAAGTATCAATTCACTTGGTTTATAAGCTTACGAGTCAGGTACAATGGACCTCCCCTGTTCCACCAATGAGGAGACTGAGGCACAGACAGGTCAGATGGCTTGCCCATGCTAGAGAGCTGGTCTCGAATACAGACATCTTGGCTCTTCATTCACTTGCTCAACACACTGTGTGGGAACTCACCAGATATCAAGTTCCAGGGCTCTTGGCCCTGTTCTGCCTTGCATCTCTTTAGGAACCACTTCATTTCACTGATCAGCTGTTTCACCAGGGTTTGGGTTTAGAAATGGGTCAAGTGACAAAAAGAGGGAAGGTTGGCAAGTGAGACATGGAAAATTTAGGGTTTAAAAACCAAAATCCTGTAGGCATCTGTTTGGGAAGGCCTTTCTATAAACCAACCTCCTTAAAGAACTCTTAAGTAAAAAACAAGTATAACCGTGGGAGCCATTTCAAACATGCAGAAGATACTCTGAGACCACGTCTAATGCACTCAGGTAGAAGGGGAGGGGGGCCAAGGAGTCCTGTGTTGTCTGCAGGAGGCCTGCTTTATTCACCTGAGCATGGAAGCATGCAGGAGTGCTATAAGCCTGCAGCCTTTCTCTGTTCCCGGCGGCCAGAGGTCTCGGCCTGTTGGTGCTTTCCTTTACTCCTTCTGGGTTTTTCCTCTTTATTCCTCTGGCAAATTTGTGTTGTTACAAAACATTAAGAACTGGAGTATTTTTAAAGGACAAATCACATCATTGAGGAGTGGCCTAGCTGGTTGTGCTGAGGGTCTGACTGTAGGAGAGCCACTGATCGGCAGGTTAGGGAGGAGGTGGCAAGAAGGACACAAAGCCCAGGAAGGTGAGCCTAAGGGAACTCTTCCAATAGTACACACATGCACTGACTCCAGTGACAAGCTCAAAACGGACTTAATTAAGCTGAAAATCAGTTCCACTCCATCCCGCCTCATACTTTCCCAGGTTCGGCCCCACCTCTTCTGTCCAGTCTAGTCATAAGAGTTTAAGCACAGTGGGTTTGAAACATGGGCATAGCTTTGAACTTAACAGACTTTTTGTGATTTTTTTTTTTTGCAAGAGACCAAAGCTCATTTACAATTTAAAATGGCAACTTGATCTTACATAAATTAACAAACGACCATCTTTCAAGAGAAAGAACAAAAGCTCTCTTCTACCCATCCCCTATCCTGAATGCTGGTTCCCATTTTGTGTTATATATATATTTTTTTCTTTACTTAGGGTCTGCCCCATTACAGATAATGAAAAATATTCCTGCGTGAAGAACTGTTGTAGTATCTGACTATTTTCTCTAAAGGCAGCACCACTACACACTCCTTGCTAGTAATATCCTGCTACAGGGGGAAAAGAGGATGGAGTTAAGCTCCCAAAAAAATTTCCTATTAAGGACAAAAAAAAGGAGAATGAGAGGAGGAAAAGGTGGAAGAAGAGATTTAAAAAAAAAACAAACAACACATACCACCAAGAGTTAGAACTCTAAGACAAATATAACACATAAAAATTAAACCATTTGGAGTCAGTACTCTTACATATGATCATAAAAGATGATGCTAAGTGAAATGAACCCCAAGATAATGGACATAAGAGGTTCTTCTTTACTGTTTTTTTTTAAAGTACTATGTGATTTTTTTTTTGTTTCCTTGGTATGTTCTTCTGCCTATGGTATATACCCTGTTGTCACTGTACTTGATTTTGGTACCCTGGATGCATTTGTCTAATCTGGGGAGGGGAAAGGGAACAACAAAATGCTGAAACAAGGACACAGGATGACCCATTGCAACAATGATACCCACAGAACAGTATATTGGAAACAAACTTTACAACTTCGGGTGGGGGGAGGCAGCGAAGTGGGATGGGGAGGAGTGGGGGAGGTGGGGGATGGAGGGATAGTGGGACAACAAGGGAAGGGGTACCAACGATCCACAAGTAATGTACTCGTTGTCTTACTCATGTAACTGTAACCCCTCTGCACAGCATCTTTACAATAAAATAGAACTTAAAACAAGAATGAAAGCAGAAAGAGCTGGGGACATACTCAAGTGGTAGAGCACCTACTTAGGAAGCACAGGCACTGAGATCTGCCCCTACCAAAAAAAAAGGTAAACTGTTACCACAATTACTCTCAGAAACTCAATATCTCTGTGTCAACTTCAAATTCCTCAGCATGGTGCTGAAGGCCTCCTCTTCCCTCCACCCTGCCCACCAGCCAGCAGAATATTCCCACAATTCTCTAAGGTCTGTGAATTCTAACCTTGACAGAACCAGAATCCTCTTTGAGAACATGATGAAAACCAGGGACTCATTCACTTGAAAAATGTACTTATTTAAGTACTTTATACATAGTTTTATAGTTCAGAGATCTGCCAGGTCAGAAAGCTCTGTTCTAGACAGACAGCAGACAAAGCCTGTCCTTTCTTTGTGCCTGACAGTTCTTTGATCAGCTGTCCTAGTGCTTTCTACCAACCCACATTCTTTTTCATTTAAAATTAGAAGGAAATCTATAATTTAACTTAACCGACTTTTGAGGATTGTGTCAGCTATAATCTGGTTTTTGTCTTTTAGGTTGGTCCCCAGACATATACTAAGTTTTTCCATTTGGACATGGCCTAATCGTAGAATGTCAGCACTAGGTTTGGTGCTGTAGCTCACCTCTGCAAGCCAGTACAAGGTCTAGTACACAGGAAACCCTGGACCATACCACATGTGTTAGAAATAGATGTCTGTCTGCAAGCCAGAGGCATGGTGTGTCTGAAGGGATTGGTCAAGTGGACCACACTGTCAGCAATCAAAATGAATGTCAGGTTTTCAGCTGCTACTAAAGACGATGAGCATAAGCTTTCACTGACCAAGACTCCAGCCAGAAAAGTCTCCACATGTGTCCATATCTGGAAGTAACCCCCAAGTCCAGCTTTGCTCAGGACACCCAAGTTAAAGACCAAGAGGATTTCTGCTGCTGTTATTACTACATTCAAGTTGATAATGGTGGCAATGATGACTCCAGTCTCCAGTAACAAAGCAGTATTTGATCTGGAGGCAAGTTTTATCTCGTCCCTTCAACTATGAAACACACAAAAGAAAGCTGAAACCATGAAGGAAATCTAGAGAAAATAATTCTCTGAATAAATATGTAAGCAGAATTAACTTCCATAAGAAAACTTACGAGCTCCTCTCCAGACCAGGGAAGAGCAATGGATAAAGCATGAGCAAGCAAGAAATAAGAAAGTAAACGTGTTGAGGCTTGAAGGAGCCTTAATATGGTTTAAAATGACTTTTTTTTAAACCTGTCGTCAATATTCCTTCATTCCGACCATGGATTTCTTGGTAAATATTTTTGTATTGTTCTTCCAATGCAGTAATCAGAAGCTATTTTTTTCCATTGTTGACTTTTATCCATTATCTATGTATTCTCCATGGTTCTGCAGGTCCTAGGGCTCTGAAAAGATGTTATAACCTTAAAGCTCAAAAAAATTTGCAATAGTTTTTTTTTTTTTTTTTTTTTTGGGTCCGGTCGTGGGGCCTGAACTCTGGGCCTGGGCACTGTCCCTCAGCTCTTCAGCTCAAGGCTAGCGCTCTATCACTTGAGCCACAGCACCACTTCCGGCTTTTTTCTTTTTGCTTATGTGGTGCTGAGGAATCGAACCCAGGGCCTCATGCATGCAAGGCAAGCGCTCTACCACTGAGCCACCTTCCCAGCCCCTGCAATAGTTTTTTAACTAAGCCTTTCTACATTTCTTTGTCTAAAGCGACTCATCCATGAGATTCTTAACTAAGATTTTTTTTTCAGTGTCCAGATGCCTCTTGGTTCTAACATTAACAGACCTGCAGATTTCCTTTGGACAAAAGCACTTATCTGATGGCTAATACTTACTCTACAAGCTTCAGTAGAGACAGAATAGAAAGGCTACCTCTTCACTCTCTAGTCTAGAAAATATAGGAGTTTTAAATTATTCAGTGATTTGATGATGGCATCAATAATGTGACCCTGGAAAACTTAAAAAGATTATAAGCACTTGTGTTCACATCTATTTTCATGTTACTCACTAAATTCTTCATCCTTGCTTATTTAAAAATAAAAGCTACAAGTCCCAATTAAAATTTAAGAGGAAGAGAGCTATTCAGTGATGGAGAACTATGCCCTAGGAACAACTGCCAGATCCACAGAAAAGATTCACTGCTTCTACAGATGCTTATGCTCTGTCAAATTTACTAAACCTTGGGGGGGCGGGAGGGAAAGACTAGTGATTTTATGTATATCCTGTTCCTTGTTGTTCCTATGCAGGACTTCTGAGTTGTAAAGATTTTCACTAATAAAACTTCTTCTCACTGTCCAAAAACAAAACCAAAAACAAGTCCTTAGACAGCCCAACTAAACAAACACCACGAAACGTACTAGAAAGATGGAGAAGGGGCTTAGGAAGATGGGAGAGGGTAGACAAATGGAAAGGAAGGCGGAGGCACAGTCATCAAATCTAATGCATATCCTGCAAAATTAAGACAACTCAGGGGAGGGGCTGGGCTGGGTTCATCGGAGGGGGGGGGGGGGGGAAGGGGCGGCAGGTCAAGAAGCAGGGTGTTCGTCAACGAAAGTGCCAAATGGCAACTCCTTTGTACAACTACTTTACTCATTTACAAAGAAAAATCCTTGAGACTGCCGCCCCCCCACACACCGAAAATCTGCAGTTCCTAAAGACCACAGAAAAGAGAACGGAGAGGAGTCCTGAGAGTGAAGCCCGCTGTTTCCCCGGGAAACCCGCGAGCCCGCGGGGCGCGGTGGGGGCCGCGCGCCCAGGCCCGGCCTCCGCCCCGGGGTCCGGCAGGGAGCGGGGAATCCGCCGCCCACCCCCGTAGCCTCCGCCGCCTGGGGCTGCTCACCATGCGCATCGCTTCCTCCATCCACCGTGCCGTCTCCTGGGCCGAAGACACGGCGGTCGAGACGCCCGGGGCTGGCGTGGACGCGGCCAACGCCTCCGCCTCCATCCCGCCGGGTTAACGCACAGCTCCGACCCGCGGGCCTTCGGGCCCGGAACGCAGCACGCGCGGGCCCTCGTTTCCGGGGGGGGTGGGGGTGGAGTCGAATCGCAGAGCACCCGGGAGCGGTTTATGGACGGACCTGAGCGCCCGGACCGGTGAGCGGCGGCGGTCAAGGAGTGCGGCTGCGCGGCGGAGGCCACGCCCCCTCCCGCCGGGTGACAGCCTCCGCGGGAAGCGGCGGGAGCGGCGCCGCGGGACGCGGGTGACGAGGACGCCTCGGCCTGCGGGCGAACCAGCCCCTCACCGCCACCACGTCCCCTCGGGCTCGGCAGAGATGCTGAGATCGACGTGGAATTTCCTGAAGCGTCACAAAAAGAAATGCATCTTCCTGGGCACGGTTCTCGGAGGTGGGTGGCAGCGCGCCCCGGGGGGGGGGGGCGGCCTCCGGCCCCGGGACGGCGAGGGCCGGGCCCGCCGCGTCGGGGCCCCGGGGCCTGCGGAGCCGGGGCGAGCTTCCAGGCTGCTCTCCGACCCCTTCCGCCTCTGCGCCTCCGCCCCTCGCTCTGCCCCTTCCCCCACGCACACCTCTTTCCCCCGGGCCCCGAGGACCCGCAGGTTCGGTGTCAGGGTTCTGCTCTTTCGGGGGTGCCTGCTTTCTTTCTCATTTTCTTCTTTTCTGGCACTCCTAGGCGTTGGTTCGGGTTTCACCCCTTCACGCCGAGTTTCATAATATTCTAGAAGCGTTCGCTACAGCCTGCACTTGGGGTGCGGAGTGTGAAGGGTATCTTCCCCATTGGAAGTACGTGGCACTGAAGGACGGAAGGATGATTATATGGGAGAGGAACGTAAAGCCGTGTGCTAGTTGTGGCTCTGTCGTTTTAGAATACAAATTGCACAGCAACGCGCGACTCGATTTAGGGTTAGGATGTTCTTGCAGCCTTCACAGGATTAGCAAGGTTGGGGGTGGCTGAGAGATTTAGAAACAGGTAAGATAAAAATCTCCATGCTGGGTGTGTAGCTAGTACTACCTTGATTGAGGCCCTGAGTTTCATCCCCAGCTTTAGAGATACCTTGAGAACCTTTTCAAAGGTGAGAATAAAAAGCCTTTTGGACTAATAGAAGAAAAAGTCTAGGAGAGAATTTGAGAAAATTGCTTAAAACTTAAGTTCTAAAGAAATATCCTTATCTCTTACGGAATACTTTGGCTACTGAAGTACTTCAAAACCAAGAACTTGAGATGTGGCTCGAGTGGTAGAGTGTCTGCCTAAAAAGACCAATGCTCTTAGTTCAAACCCCAGTACTGAAAAATTGAATAATAAAGGACTTTCCTGGGTGAGATGGCTCATGCCTGTAATACGAGCTACTCTGGAGGCAGAGATCTGAGGATAGAGGTTTGAAGCTAGTCCCAAGCAGAAAAAAGCCCTTGAGCCGATTTATCTCCAATTAACAGAGGTGTGACCCAACTCATAGAGCACCCACCTTGAGTGAAAAAAGAGAGAGAGAGAGAGAGAGCTGGAGGCTAGAGTTCAAGCTTTAGTCTTGGTACACATACAGAAAAAAATAATAATAAAAGAAGAGGACGAACTGAAGTTCTCTAAAGAACTTGGTTTCTTTTCTCTATTATACTATATTCTATTACCTTCAATAATTAGAAATTATATTAACAATTTGGCATTAGGTGTTTCTTGAAAGTATGAGATAGTATTCTCTTATTTATTTATTTAGGTCATGAGGCTTGAACTCAGGACCTGGTTGCTGTCCCTGAATGTTTTGTGCTCAAGGCTAGTAGTGTTCTACTCCTTTGAGTGTCAGTTCTACGTTTTTTGGTGGTTTGATTGGAGACAAGAGTCCCAAGGACTTTCCTGCCTGGGCTGGCTTTGAACTCTAGACCTCTCATCTCAGCCTTCTAAATAGCTAGGATTACTGGTGTGAGCTACCAGGGCCTGGAAGACAAAGTATTCATGATAAGGCCATAATTTCATTCTGCATATCTCTGAGGTCTAGCACAAATTGGTAATAAGCATATGTAAATTTTGATTACCTTTAAGAACTTCTTTTTTAAAGCTTGGTTCCTTTGTTGACTTATTTTTATTTTATTTTGAGTTTATATTTGAAATATAAGAGGATTTTACTTTGGTATTTCCACACCATATACACCTGGTATGCTTTGAGCAAATTCTTTATAGATCAAATGTATCAGGCCCTGATGTTTAAAGTTTATTTAAACTCTGCTAAGACCACAAAAGGTATTTCATTTTTAAATGCTAGCAATATACATGTGATGGAAGACAAAATATATTTTGCTGCTACTGAAGGAAAAGAAATTCCCTCTATCAATTTTGGAAGGAAGGCATACCCCTTCTGGCTTATGGGACGGTTTTGAAAATTAATAGTTCAAGGTATCTGCAGGATTTGTTCACTTTAGGTGATGCCTTCTCTACCTTTATAGTCATCTCTGCCTAGGCACCCTTTGATAAAAACACCAATCATGTTGATTTAGTAACTTAGCCATAGTGACCTCATTGAATAATCTGGTTACCTCTCTAAAGACCTCTCTAGATCAGGTTACTTTCTAAGGTACTGGGATTCAAACATATGAATTTGGGGGAGAGGGGAGTACACACAATTTTTTTTTATTACACAGACCCAACCATCAGATTTACTCCAGAAAAAAATATTTTTACTCCAGAAAAATTGATATCTATGCAAAGGATGTCACTGAAGTATTTTATCTCACAAAGTAACTTGAGACAATAATCACTTGGCACAAAGCTTTTATTAGTCCATTATGCAAGAATAATACATGCAAATCATTCAGAATAGGCTATCGGAGTTTATCAGTTTCTTCATTCTGCTGGTTTTGTGGCTCCTATTGATTGATCATCAGAAAGATGACAATGAAAGCCTTTTATTATGAGCTTTTTTTTCTTAAGCATGATTATAATACATTTATTTGTATGCAAACATAGTGGCAACAACAAACATACTTTATTTCACTTTTAGAAAATACTCTTGGGGGGGGGAAGGGAGGGGAAGGAGAAGGATTGGGATTGGTGGGGGAGGGGGGAGGCTGGGAAGGGATGTGAAGGGTAAACCAAAGGAGGAGGCTGCAATGCTTGGTAAGAAATGTACGCATTATCCTGCCCATGTAATTGTAACCCCTCTGTACAGTATATTCACAAATAAAATAAATAAATAAATAAATACTATAAAAAAATAAAAAAAAAGAAAATACTCTTAGAGAACCATTATTTTAAAGGATGCATAAAAGCCCATCAACCACAGCAGTATTAATTAAAACCATCTGGTATGTGTTTTTGCTTTTGTAGTACCTAAAGCAATGCCCCCTCCTCACTTGTGATAAACAGACCAAATTCAATTATTTAGGTCAGGCACAGTTTCTGAGTTCTTTGTTCAATATTATGGGCCACAGACAGTTGGAGATAGGTGAAGATTACTTACTTCCCTACAGCCTGGCTGCCAAGATATAATGAAACCAAGTTTTGGCACACATTTACAAGGATCTATTAGCAAGCAAAGATGAAATAGTAACAGCCTGTTCTACAAGCTCATTGAACTCTGTCTTCCTTTAGTGCTATGACAAAACCATGAGTGCAAGGTTTACCTAAGAGAAAGGCAACAGAATTCTAGCTGTAGGATTCAGGTGGCCATCTGGTTAATTCTACTTGATTGAGAATCCTCAGGTTCCCAGGCTAAGCTATCCCTACTGCAGAACTTGCTGGATTCATACATTCAGGTCCATATGAACATGACTAAATATTAATAAAATGTTTTAGCTAGTCTAATGTCTTGAATACCAATTTGTTTTTCTCTAAGTCATTGTACTTGTTTAAAAATAAACATTTATCATGTCATACCAAGGTTAATGTCACAAAAGCATAATATGCTCAGATAATCAAGGATTTCCAACTTTCTTTTTTTTGTTTTTTGTTTTTGTTTGTTTGTTTGTTTGTTTTGGGTCCAGTCATGGGGCCTGAACTCTGGGCCTGGGCGCTGTCCCTCAGCTCTTCAGCTCAAAGCTAGTGCTCTACCACTTGAGCCACAGCACCACATCTGGCTTTTTTTCTTTTTGCTTATGTGGTGCTGAGGAATCGAACCCAGGGCCTCGTGCACGCAAGGCAAGCGCTCTACCACTGAGCCACCTTCCCACCCACCCCCAATTTCCAACTTTCTGTGTAACTAAGTGAGAGGTATGTCACTATGGGTTTTAGTTAGGGGCAAACATCAGTCACCGCTGATTAATTCTAAAACTCTATGCTACTTCCCATTTTAAGGGTCTATCAGTGTATTGCTCTTCCCCAATAAAAGGTACCAGGACAGTAACAGGCTTAAGGCAGGAAAGGAGAAAAGGACATAGGAGCTAAAGACAAAATTCTGCTTTTTTTGTATAAGAAGAGTGTTATTTCCTCTAGAGCCATACTAATGAGTTTGGTTACAAAACAGCCCGGGTCAAGAATGTCTGATTATATTTACTCCAGAAAAACTTATATCTAGGCAAAGGGTGTCATTGCAGTATTTTATTTCACAAAGTAACTTGAGACAATAATCACTTGGCACATAGCTTTTATTAGTCTATTATGCAAGAATGATAGAAGCAACTCATTCAGAGCTAGTTACAGCAGAATAGGCTGTCAAAGTTTATCAGGAATGTCTGATTCTTCCTTAGGCTTTGGCAGTGTCTGGTCCATTCAGGGTTGGGCCAGATGCTAAAGTTCCCTGAGCCTTCCTCTAATGTCACAGTGGCTCCTGCCCTCAAAACGCTGAGTAGATGGCTCTCCTTTCTTTAGGGATACTGGCTTCACACTAGGAGTTAGAGGTGCAGAAGGACTATCCCCTCCAGAAGAGTCAAGTCCACAGTTTTTCCCACAGTGGGTAGATCCAGTCTTTATGGAGCTTCAGTGAGTTTGCTTGTAACACAGTCACTTCTTTGTACCTTTGTTTCTTGAGATTATCTTGAGCCTGGATCAAAATGGAAGAATGTTACTCTGTTATTCATGAAGATAAATATATTTCCGCTCAAGTTACAAGCCGCCTTTAGTTCTGTCATGGAGCATGCACCGTACAGACAGGCAGTACACCGCTATGAGTCGGGTTTCCTCTCAGTGCTTTACTCCTCCTGACACTCAGTCTGAGAAACACAATAAAGCTCCCAAGCAGTAAATTTTACATCTTTATTTAGCTATTTGATTAGGAAGTTGTAGAGGTCTCAGCTTCTTGATAATTACTATTGGGGGCTAAAAATTTAAATTCTTTCAACAATATCATTCACAGCTGCCATTAACTTTTAAAGATATCTAAATTCTTCTCCAAATTATCCTTTTGACATAATGAGAGCTGAACTGGAGTCTTACCTGTGAAACATATGCTCATGTGATCTATTGTAATCCAAATGTTCTCTAGGCTAGACTAGATTTATTGATCCCTGTCACTGTGGACAATTAGCCTTAAGTTTTGCTTTTACTTCTGCAAATGTTTGGAGGAAAGGCCTGGAACCCCGAGAATGTCATCTGTGAAACTCCATTTCTGGCATTCATTGGTGCTGATCAGAGATAAAAGTTAGTTGACATACTTTTATCTTTCCAGCATGTCTTAAGCAAATATTATTAACCATCTGAGTGTTCAGGTTCCCAGTTAGGACAACTGTCCCCCACAAGGCATAGAGCAAAAATGTACACATTTGTATCTCATTGTGTCTGCTTAAATGTGCTAAATAACAGACTATATGATACCATTTGTGTTTTTACACTGAAGTATTGTAATAGCCTCTTCTTTCTTTCACAAATAAGTTATCAAGTATTAAATGGTCTTAAGTTTCATTGTTTCTCCTTTTCCCAGAGATTTTTTTGAATACACAGATAAATAGGTATCTACCAGACAACTTACCTTTCTTTCATTCTTTTAAAAATTTTCACCTTACAGCTTTAAGAAGTATTATGTGTTTATTGAAGAAAATATGGAAAATACAAAGAGACAGAAGGAAATCATTTGTTACCTCACATTGTTTATTATATATTAGGGATCAAAACTCATCCATTTTTCATGTATCTAGACCATTAAAAGACAAAATTTGGCCGGGTGCCTGTGGCTCACACCTGTAATCCTAGCTACTCAGGAGGCTGATTTGAGGATCACGTTCAAAGCCAGCCTGGGCAGGAAACTCCGTGATACTCTTATCTCCAATAACCACTAGAAAACTGGAAGTGGTGCTGTGGCTCAAGCAGTAAAGCGCTCACCTTGAGCTGAAGAGCTCAGGGACAGTGCCCAAGCCCAGAGTTTAAGCCCCATGGCCAACCAAAAAACAAACAACAACAACAACATAATTTGTCAGGTGCGTTGACTTGTATCTGCTACTTAAGCATCAGAGAGCTGGAGAATTACTTCTAGAGGCAAGTCCAAGGAAAAAATTAGCAAGACCCTCAATCTCAACACAAAATTATCCTAGTGTAGTGCTATGGGTTAGTAATCTAAAATATGGAGATGATCTCTGTCTAAGGGCAACCCAGGCAAAAACTAAAGACAGTATTGGAAAAATAACCTAAGAAATAAAAAGAGTCTTAGTGGGCCCTAAGTTCAAATCCTAGATCCCACTATCACTATCAAAAAGGGAATGATAAGAAAGAAAGAAAGAAAGAAAAAAAGAGAAAGAGAAGAAAGAGAGAAAAGAAGACACCTTTTGAGATCTTACTTTATCATGTAACAGTGTATTTCTTTGAGTCATTAACTATTTAATAATGTAGGTTTTTAATAGCTACATAAGATCTCATTGTGTGGCTAGATCATAATTTATTTAAACAATTCCATATTGCTAAATGTTTACCATCTTTCCAGTTAACTGTTAAAGGCATTGCCAGCCTCTCAATACTTGATTCCCTAGGGCTTGCTTCTTGTGTCCCCTTCATATCCTCGGTCCTTAGCTATGAGAATGTTTATCTTTCTCTTCAGTTCAGTCTTATACTGTTCTTTAATATGGTTTCGATAAAGCTCTTAATTTTTAGCTTCTGCTTGAGATAAGCCTTATAATTGGATAAACTAGGTTAAAATACTGTTGGGATTTTTAATACCTTAATTAATATACTTCTTTATTTTTAAAAAACGATTTTAGGAGTATATATCCTGGGGAAATACGGACAGAAGAAAATTAGAGAAATACAAGAAAGAGAGGCTGCAGAATATATTGCTCAAGCCCGACGTCAGTATCATTTTGAAAGTAACCAGAGGACTTGCAATATGACAGGTGAGGCGAAGAGAAATGTTTATTCATGTACAGAGTTGCTTGTTGATGTGTATTAATTCATAAATTTCCAGCACTGCAATTAGAGGAAAAGACAAAAAAAATGATTGATCTCGTGCATATTTGTATTAACTGAAATATATTATTTTAACGTTGACTTGTTAAAATCAATATAAATTTTTATTCTTTGTTTTGGGCAGTTTGGGTTTTTATTTGTCTGATCGTTTGGGGGTTTGTTTTTGTGCCAGTCCTGGGGCTTGAACACTGGGCTTGGGTGCTATCCCTGGTTTTTGGCTCAAGGCTAGCGCTCTACTTCTGGGGTTTTGTTGGTGGTGGTAGTGGTGGTGGTGGTTATTGGAGATGAGTCTCCTGGGCTTTCTGGCCCAGGCTGGCTTTGAGCTGTTGTCCTTAGATCTTGTCCTCCTGATTAGCTGAGATTGTAAGCATGACCCACCAGTACCTGGCTCTTACTCATTTATCTATTCACTCAGCAAATACTTGGAGTGCCCAGCACCAGGGAAATAGACAGGGAACAGTAAAAGTAAAAATAGCCAGGCACCAGTGCCTCATGGTAAAGATTCCAGAATAATGCCACCACCAGGTGCTAGCATCTCCAGGGAATAGATAACCATTCAAAGTGAAAAGGCACTAAAATTTCAGTAGAGAGAGAAAGATGGGCTGGGCGCTGGTGGCTCACACCTGTAATCCTAGCTACTCAGGAAGCTGAGATCTGAGGATCACCGTTCAAAGACTTAGCTCCAATTAACCACCAGAAAACCGGAAGTAGAGCTGTGGCTCAAGTGGTAGAACACTAACTTTGAAGTGAAGAACTGAGGGACAGCATCTAGGTCCAGAGTTCAAGCCCCACAACCAAAAAGAAAGAAAGAGAGAAAGGGAGGGAGGGAGGGAAAGAAAGAAGAGAGAGAGAGACAGAGAGAGAGAAGGGATGGGAGAGGAGAGGGAAGTGAAGAAAAGGGGACAGGAGGGAAGAGAAGAAGAAGGAGAAGGGGAGGGGAGGGGAGGGGGAGGAAAAATAACCATACAGTACAGATCACCACGATGTTGACATCTAGGAATAATAACTCTTATGCATATACTTAATTATATGGCTATAATCTTGGTGTATATGTAATTTTGTTCTATTAACATATGCCAGTAAATTATTATTAGCACACAATAGTAACTTTTAATAATAATACTTGAAATTCTCTAGCCTTGTCATTCCCTCCCAGCTCGTGCTGGAGGCAACTAGAGCGTGCATTTCCAGCGATGGCAGCGAATCACTTGTGATTTTCTATTTCTGTTGTCCATTTGTATTACAGTACTGTCCATGCTCCCAACACTAAGAGAGGCATTAATGCAGCAGCTTAACTCAGAAAGCCTTACAGCTCTGCTAAAAAACAGGTAATTGAAAATTATGGCATTTTTCAGTTTTGGACTGCACTTAACATAGTTTATAGGTTGAGCTAAAATATTTATCAAAAGTCTTAGTTAGCTTCCTTATTTTCATTATAAGAAAAGCTTGTGATACATAAACTCAGTTTAAAAACAAATGAGTATTTTACTAAGTCCATTTTATTTTCATTATTTAGACTCTTTCATTACACAGATCTTTTAAGGCAATAAAACATTCACACATTGTCATAAAACTAGATTTCCTATAATTTTGACATTATAAAGAAATCTTAGCATTGAGAGCTTATTTGGAATGTCTTCCTAACCCAGTTACCTCCCTAAATTGTTTCCACTGTAATAAATATTATTCACATACATTCTAAATAGATAAGCCATATGATTTACTATAAACAAAATGACCAGGTAATTTACATCAACATGTCACTTCGGGAAGCACAGGAGAGGGGTGTGCAGGAAATCAGTATGTACCAGGCACTCACCGGACCATGGAGCTCCAGCCCTAACACTCATTATTTTTTCTGACTTTTTTTTCCTTTAGGCCTTCAAACAAGATAGAAATATGGGAGGATCTAAAGATAATAAGTAAGCCTACATATTCTGTGTGACAGCACATCCTTGAACTGTTTATAAGGGAAGTTTTTTGTTCTATATCATATGAGTGTCTTTTTACCTTATAAAGTTTTCAGGATTATAAAACACTCATCAAGTAGATGAGTAGATATAATATCCAGTCACAGAAAATAATGAGTGGTGGTGGTGGTGGTATTATCATTGTTGTTCTTATGATAGTTCTGATATTTTTAACAGTGTATGTATGTGTGTATGTATATATAGAGTTGTATCTATAGGTAATTTTTCCCCTTCTGGTAATAAGGTACTCATGACCTTTTATCCTCACTCGATTTTTTTCTACTCATGGCTGGTGCTATACCACTTGAGCCTTGTCCTCAGTTCCTACCCTTATATGTTAAAGGAAGCTTGTATGTCATCTAATAAAGTAGCTTTACCATGTTATTGTATGAAAACTTTCATTCCTGATAAAAATTTGAAGTGTTTACCAGGAGCCTGTATATGTCTTTATGTCTTAAAAACTCAATAGTAGGAATCATCCCTTTGTTTTCCCATCCACTAAACTAATTCTTATCAACAGAATAATGAATGGAACCTTTCTAGAATCCTCTAGACCTTTTCTGCTATTACACTTTTTCTCACTCCCTGTGGCCAAAACTTTCCTCATTCCCTTTTTTTCAGTCCTTCACTCCCACTCATTCTTTGACACATTGTAGCCTGGCTTTTCTTCTCTTCCCTCCACCCAAGCAAATCTCCCAGCATGAGTAGTAACTTCTATGTCTCTAAATCCCCTGGATGCCTTCCTCCTACTAGATCTCTTGGTCATCTCCTCTGCCCTCTGTCTTCAACAGCCACATGCTCTTCTGCCTTGAAGCTTACTTTTCCTACTTTTCTCTCTTTCTATACCTTCCTTCAGTACATGGCTGGCTTCTACTCCTTTGCCTGCCATAGAAGAACAATAGCCCTCTTCTCTTAAATCTATAATGGCCCCTTTGAACAACTCAGAGTTCTGAGGCTTCAACTCAGTCCTTAGTTTCTGATTAAGGGGTGTGTGTGTGTGTGTGTGTGTGTGTGTGTGTGTGTGTGTGTGTGTGTGTGTGTGTGTGTGTGTGTGTGTGTGTGTGTGTGTGTGTGTGTGTGTGTGTGTGTGTGTGTGTGTGTGTGTGTGTGTGTGTGTGTGTGTGTGTGTGTGTTTATTTGTTTGTTTTTTCTTTCTGGTTTTGTGATACTGGAGCTGCTCATATGTTAAGTATGAGATATTTTGAACTAATACATTTTTATATTTGATATAGTTATAAATACATTTTAAAGATACTTTATTCTTTTAAAAAGGCATAGGGATAGTTCAGGATTTCACACATTTCCTGGTGTTTTAATAACAACACAAGGGTTATTTTTTTCTCTCTCTCTCTGAAGGTTTCACAAGAAGTGTTGTGGCCGTGTACAGCACCTGTATGCTGGTTGTTCTTTTGCGAGTCCAGTTAAACATAATTGGTGGATATATTTACCTGGACAATGCAGCAGTGGGCAAAAATGGCTCTGTAAGTTTAGTGGACACAATTGCATGTTGCTCTTTCAGGAAGTTCAGTTTGAGCGTTTACTCATTTTTGTAATGTATTTTACAATGTATATACCTTTATATTTCATAAGATTGTAAGCTTTTAGCCCTCTGAGTTTTACAAATATTTTGGAAGTAGACTTTCTGTATGTTAACGGATATTATTCCTACCATCCCAGAGCCTGAAAAATCTCAAATTCTACCAAAAATATTGCTGCTTTAATAGTGGACGTCTTGAATAATGTAACTTTATTTCTGTTTTGTGCAGACAGCTCTCGCTCCCCCAGACGTCCAGCAGCAGTATTTATCAAGTATCCAACATCTCCTCGGAGATGGTAAGATTCTACTTTGTGGCCTCTATACCGATTTCATTTATTTGTATTATTGAAGACTTATCTAGGGGAACAAGGCTTCTCATCGTGTTTCTCCCTTAATAGGTCTGACAGAACTGATCACTGTCATTAAACAAGCTGTGCAAAAAGTTTTAGGAAGGTAAGGTATTTTTCTGACTTCTTGATTCTGGTGAATAACAGAAAAAGTAGAATTGTTCCAGTGAAGTTAGTGACTTGACAAATGGTGAACTGTGAAACTATTTGTGATAATACGGATGCCAACCCTCAGTACTGCTTTGTAGAGTCCCTTTTTTTGTAAGTCTCCACCTTTACATATTGGGCAGAAACATTTATTTATTTCCAAACAAATCAGAAGAATTTGGATTATGAAATTAACAATCTACTTTAAAATCTGCTGCTGAGACTTTTACCTCCCACTTATACTAACAATATCTATAATTATAATAGGGATTTTATTATGTAATCTGTAGCAAAGCTGAATTTCCTTGGCTTCATAATAATGACCTGCAACTGGTGTCTGGTTTCTCCATTCTAGTCCAGTTAGCATTTTGTGATTTGACCAGATAGAACAAGTTTGCAGACAGAGGTCTGTTATGAAAGAGTGTGTTAGCCTGGTGCCAGTAGCTCATGCCTGCAATCCTAGCTACTCAGGAGACTGAGATCTGAGGGTCATGGTTCAAAGCCAGCCCAGGCAGAAAAGTCCCCATGTGAGACTTATCTCTGATAAACTACTCAGAAAAAGCTGGAAGTGGCACTGAAGCTCAAGTGGTAGAGCACTAGCCTTGAGCATAAAGAGGCTCAGTGACAGTACCCAGGCCCTCAGTTCAAGCCTTAGGACTGGCGAAAAAGAAAAGGATGTGTTTGAAATGTATTATCTAGTTTCAATTTATTCCAATTGTCTATGTTTCTAGTGTTTCTCTTAAACATTCTTTATCCCTTTTGGACTTGGAGCAAAAACTAAAAGAAATCAGAACCCTTGTTGAACAGCATAAATCTTCTTCTTGGATTAATAAGGATGGATCCAAATCTCTATTATGCCATTATATGATGCCAGATGAAGAAACTCCACTTGCAGTCCAGGTGTGTAATTCTTAACCATTGAATCAAGTTGTTGTTCTCTGTTTGTTATTCTTGAAATTAGATTTCTGAGTCTCTTGAAAAGTGATTTGAAAGACATGTGCTCCAATAATTTAAATAAAACCATGCTAAAACAGAAAATAAAACATGGCTGATTTCTAGTTTAAATCACTTACAATTTTAGCTACTTATATTATTTAGTAATAATATGAAACAGACACTGAAATATATATATAGATATATATGTGTATATAGATATAGATATGTAGATATATATGTATATATATATATATATGCCAGATGTAAAACAAGGAGTATATACATTATACTTGGAAAGTTCTAGAGGCAACGTCTTTAGTGTATCTATAGAGCTATGAGTGTAAGATCAAACAGCAGAACCTAGGGCAATATTATGTTAGGGCAAGATCATAAAGAGTTTTGTATGCCAAGAAAAGGAATCTGAGCTCCAATTTGTGGCCATAAATTTAAACTACATTCAAACATACTTTCAAAAATAAATAATGTCTTGGGAGTGGCACTATAGCTTAAAGTGGTTAAGTGCTAGCCTTGAATGAAGAATGCTCAGCGACAGTACTCAAGCACTGAGTTCAAGCCCCACCACTGACAAATAAATAAACAATATAAATAAATAAATAAGTAATGTCAGTAGGAAAATGACTGGAAGAAAGCTGTAATCATCTAGTTGAGAAACAAAAAAGATTATAATATTAACAGTTATCACCTCTGGCATTGGTACATACTGTGTGTCCTGAGCACTTGTTATATAAGTTATTCATTGATTAAGAGCAATAAAAATGCCAAAGATTGCATGCTATGTAGCTTATCTTTTTTGGGGGGGAGGAGGGGTCCAGTCGTGGGGGCCTGAACTCTGGGCTTGGGCGCTGTCCCTCAACTCTTCAGCTCTACCACTTGAGCCACAGCACCACTTCTGGCTTTTTTCTTTTTGCTTATGTGGTGCTGAGGAATCGAACCCAGGGCCTCAGGCATGCAAGGCAAGCACTCTACCACTGAGCCAACTTCCCAGCCCCTATGTAGCTTATCTTAAAATTAGTAATTTTTCATTTATAAATTGAATTAAACTTAAATTTTCTGCGATTGGGGAGATTAGCTCTTACTTACCCAGCAGAGCCTCGGAAGCTGTAATACCTCAGCATAGAGCCCCATCAATAGAATGCCATGTTCTCATTGATGGCAGATTTTTCCTTTCCCTTTCCCTAGACACTCCACAGATGACCCCCTAGGGGAAAGACACTGTATTTATGAGTGGTCCAGAAAAGAAGAAAAAAGTCACAATCCATTTGAGGTATTCTGTGATTTGAAAGACAGAGACTAAACTGAACAAAGGGGACAGAAGTAAAGAAAGAAATCAGAAAAAAAAAAAACTTACAAAATAGGACCTCAAGAAAATACAATAAAAACGATCATCAGTGACCTTTCACCAAATAAGAAGCTTTCTGGAGCTAGGAAATAGTAGCAAATTTTAAAATTTAATAGTGGAACTAAAAAGAAAATGGTTCAAAGGGATGCGTAAAGATAGGACAATGCACCAAATCCTACTGAAACAGAAAGTCAGACTGAAAAAACACCCATATTTCCTGATAAAATCTCTTCAGAGTGACAGAAAAATATACCTCCTCTGCATTCTTCAAACCTACCTTCTTCCTTGTCTGTATATGCTAGAATTCAACCAAAGAAGGTCCAAATAAAGACCTTACAGCCTTATATAGGTTTAAGACTTTGGAATTAGTTCTGATTCTTGATAGAACTTATGCTTTTAAATTTCCAGAATTTTTTTTGTGACTTTGACCAATTACTTCATGATCCTCTGCTGATATCTGCACACTGAAATGTGGCATTCTCATTTTACAGGCCTGTGGGCTTTCTCCGAGAGATATTACCACTATTAAACTTCTCAGTGAAACTAGAGACATGTTGGAAAGGTATGTAGACTGCATGTAAAGGAAACTGTGTTTGTACTTTATATGAACTTAACACTTGTTAGTGTTTCTTGAACAGATAGCCAGCATTGCATTAAAAATTAAATTTTAAGTCTGTTCCTGTGCCTTCAGGAAGGATTTCCTGCCTAAAGTAGAGGGAATGGATTTTTTTTAAGATACCCACTGTTTAAGATCCTGATCTACTGTTAAGAGTCAGAAGATAGTAGCATTTATATTTTGATAAACCATCCTATAATAATTCTCGTATACTATATATATATATATATATATATATATATACACACACACATACATACATACATACATACATACATACATATACTAGCACATGGTCAACAAGCAGCTCTGTTAAACAGAAACAAAAAAAGTAAAATTTAACCACCAAAAACTGAAACTGTAGCCACATGCTGTGGCTATCAAATTGAAGTTCAGCTACCCAGTTGAAGCTACTGAATGATAAAGTGGGGAGTGGGAGGTAGGAAGAATTGTTCTTGTTTCTTGAGAGCAAGCACTAATCGGCTCTACTCAGCCCTCTAGTATGCACATAGGTTTGTACATACACACACACACACACAGTTAGACACCATCTTCAGAATGACTCATTAACCCTAAATCAGTTAGCGTAGACAATGATGTTAATAAAACCTCTTTTGGTTATTTGTATTTTGTTAGACAGGGTCTTGCTCTCAAGTCTTAACTGATCCTGAATTCACAGTCCTCTTACCTTAGCATCCTAAGTGCTAGGATTAGAGGTGTGCAATATCACACCTAGCTCCTAAAATCTTTGAGTGATAAAAATTTCACTTCCTTTCTAAACTGTTGCTGTTTTAAGGCACCCAAAATAGAGGAGAAAATAACATTTAAAAGACAGTGCATATAAGACCCCATGAACTGAATTCAAGGCTGCTCAACCTTGGCTGAGCCACTTAAACTTTTAAGGTAATTTTATCATTGAGAAATACCATAGTATCTAACCAACCAACTATATGTTAAAGAATACAAATATCTGTTATTTTTTTATTATCTTTAAGAGTTGTACAAAGGAGTTGCATTTAACAAAGCAATTTATGGAAACAATATATCTTAATCAATGTCACCCCTCTGAACATTCTCACACAACCATCTTCTGGCTACCCCTTCCCTCATTCTTCTTAATTTTGTAGCACATACATTGGATTCTTGAGTGCATTCTCCCCCTCCTCTTCATTCCTCTACCCCTTTCTGTTAGATTCCACCCAACCCTTTTCTAGTAACTGCTCCCTGGTGTTTTATTTTGTTCACTTTCCTTTCTAGGAATTAATTTATTTCATTTCTCAATTAAAGATGTCAGATGCCTCCTTGGGATAATTTATACCTTTTTTTCCCTCTAGTTCTCTTTTCTGAGGAAATGATATTCCTTTCTTGGAATAAATTCTTCTTGATCTTGAAGAAAATCAGCACTGATAGTTAACTGAGTCACAAATCCCATGTCAAAATTTGTCAGTGCTTTGTCTTTGTCCAGTGGCCACTGAGTCTTGTTTTCTTTTCAGATCTTCACCAAATCATTCCATGAGACTCTAGGAAAGGTCAATGTTGATCTTTTGCTAAATATAGGGAATATGTAATGTTCTTCTTTCTCAACTTTTCTCTAATTTTTGACACTATTGATAAAGCATTTCTTATTGTTTTGTCACATATGTGACCATATATTATATTTTCTCTCCTAGTTCTTAGGTTCTTGTAACTCTGTCTTTCCTTTAAACATTAGTGCTTCCCAGGGATTGTTCTTATTTTATCAGCAACCTCTGATAAAATTGCATTTACACTTCCATTGCTCTAACTGCAATCTGTATGCTTATTATTCCCAAATGTAGTATTAACCTAGTCCTCTACCATGGGGCATACCCACTTCACAGAGCAAATGTTTAGTAAACCAACGCTGCAAAAAACAATTGGTCTAGAGTATGATTTCTGCATTTCAACATTAGGATTAATATATTGATTCATTTATCTTCTTCAAATATTCTTTGGTCTATTATATTAGATACTGCTTTAGGTGCCTCATGTTCATTCTTTCTGGGACTTCTAATGGGAAAAACAAAAATCCAAAAATTAATAAGCTTACTATGTTGTTAAGTATTTGTGACTTCATTGATGAAATGAGCATGTTGCCAGGCTAGAGAGAGAGCAGAGATGCTGTTTGTGTAGGTTGGTCTGAAAAGGCTCTCTGAGAAGATTCGTTGGAGCAGATATGAATCCCCTGTGGATGTGAGCTTTATGATTAGAGAGAGTACAGTTTGAAGAAGAACAGGTGCACAGGAGCTAATGTTTATCTTATTGAAGGAACAGCAAGGAGGCCAGTGCTGAGCACAGTGACCAGGAAGTGAGGATGGAGAAATAGGATGTTGGACCTTTTAATCCATAAGACAATTGTTTATGTGAGATTTGTGATTGCTTGATTCTTTTCCATTATCATTACTTATTTAGTATTAAAAACAATACATTATGTGTATTTCAGCATTTTCCTTTTTTTTCTTTCTTTCTTGTTTTAGTTGTAGGGCTTGAATTCTGGGTCTGGGCGCTATTCCTGAGCTCTTCGGCTCAAGGCTAGAGTTCTACCACTTGAGCCACAGCGCCACTTCTAGTTTTCTGGTGGTTAATTGGAGAAAGGAGACTCATGGACTTTCCTTGCCTGGGCTGGCTTTGAACTGCAATCCTCAGATCTCAGCCTCCTGAGTAGCTAGGATTATAGGCATGAGCCACCAGCGCCCGACAGCATTTTTCTTATAACATATGTAGAACCATGTAACTTACGACATGTAAGCCTTGTATGTAATGCTTTTTAAATTCTGAGATTTATAGAAAGCTATTAGAAAGTTTTAAGCAATAAGCATTGCTTTATTTTTGACTATAAAGAAACAGAAATGGGAAAAGGGAGCTAGTTTTTAAAATGTGATAGACTTAAACTAACATGACATGTTGAATTGAAACCTCTCTGTGCAACTACTTTAAATTTTTTTTTGAAAGAATTTGAAGCCAGGTGCGGTGGTTCATGCCTATAATCCTAGCTATTAAAGAGGCTGAGATCTGATAATCACAGTTCAAAGCCAGCCGGGGAAGAAAAAAGTATGAGACTCTTATCTCCAGTTAACTACTCAGAAAAGCTGGAAGTGGTGCCATGGCTCGTGGTAGAGTGCTAGCCTTGAGCACAGAGAGACTCAGGGACAGCACTAGGCCCTGAGTTCAAGCCCCAGGACCAGCAAAAAAAAAAAAAAAGGAATTTGAGTGGGGCTGGGAAGTGGCTCAGTGGTAGAGCGCTTGCCTTGCATGCCTGAGGCCCTGGGTTCGATTCCTTAGCACCACATAAGCAAAAAGAAAAAAGCCAGAAGTGGCGCTGTGGCTCAAGTGGTAGAGCACTAGCCTTGAGCTGAAGAGCTGAGGGACAGCACCCAGGCCCAGAGTTCAGGCCCCACGACCGGACCCAAAAAAAAAAAAAAAGGAATTTGAGCTGAGTGTCAATGAATATCTAAGAAGACTAGAAATTAGCATTTTTGATCACTTGTACTCCAAGTGTAATTCTCTGCTATCCCGTACAAAGTTAATGAGACCCTATATTAAAAACAAAACACAAAACAAAGGAGGCTGAGAGTTGAGCTCAAGTGGTAGAGCATTTGTAAAGGAGAGTTCTTGAGTTCAACTTCTAGTTAAAAAAAGAGAGAGAGGGCTGGGAAGGTGGCTCAGTGGTAGAGCGCTTGCCTTGCATGCATGAGACCCTGGGTTCGATTCCTCAGCACCACATAAGCAAAAAGAAAAAAGCCGGAAGTGGCGCTGTGACTCAAGTGGTAGAGCGCTAGCCTTGAGCTGAAGAGCTGAGGGACAGCGCCCAGGCCCAGAGTTTAGGCCCCATGACCGGACCCAAAAAAAAAAAGAGAGAGAGAGAGAATAAAACTCCAGTGGGGGAAGAGTGAAGGAAATGGGGGAGGGAAGGGATAGTAGTAGAAAAAACAATGCTGGACAAGATATGTACCCATTATCTTACTCATGTAACTGTAACCCCTCTGTGTACAGCATGTTTACAATAGAATAAAATTGTTTTTTAAAAAAGTAACTACCAAGCTAATGTCTAAATTTTTTAATTAAAAGTTAAATGTTTTTTTTCCTTAAAAGAAAGAGAGAGAAGGAAAGAAATGGAAAACAAAAATGAAAAGAAAAAAGAAAAGTACCAGTGGCTGGTACCTGTAATCCTAGCTATTCAGGAGGCTGAGATCTGAGGATTGTGGTTCAAAGCCAGCCTACAAAGAAAAACCTGAGAGGTTCTAACTCCAGTTAGATCTCCAAATAACTAGCACTAACGTCAGAATGTCAGGCCATAAGTAGAAAAGATGAGCAAGTACAAAGCCTTGAGTTAAAACCCTGGTGTGCGTGCGCGCACGCACACACACACACACACACACACACACAAAGAAGAAAGGAAGAGGAAGAGAGAAAGTTGTAGAGAGGAAAGGGAAGAAGACCTAAATTTACTGTGTGATCTAGCGAGTCCAAAATAAAATGAAAGCCAGCTATGGTGACCCAGACCAGGAATCCCAGTTGCTCTGGAATTGGAAGCAATAGAGAATTGTGTCTCAATAAAGATTGTAAAGCAAAGATATAGTTGGTCATTGTACGAGGATTCAGGAGATTCCCCAAAAAAGTAATACTATTGACACTTTTAAAAACACATTAGGGCTGGGAAGGTGGCTCAGTGGTAGAGCGCTTGCCTTGCATGCCTGAGGCCCTGGGTTCAATTCCTCAGCACCACATAAGCAAAAAGAAAAAAGCCGGAAGTGGCGCTGTGGCTCAAGTGGTAGAGCGCTAGTCTTGAGCTGAAGAGCTGAAGGACAGCGACCAGGCCCAGAGTTCAGGCCCCACGACCAGACCCAAAAAAAACAAAAAACAAAAAACACATTTTACAAAATGCTGATTAACCTAAGAAAAATCTAGGGATTTGGGTGAATTCCTAATTTTGTTGTGCTAATTATAATAAATGAATTTAATGTTTAACTTTGAAAAATTAACTCCTCCATAAATCTTTACAATACTTCAGGCTGTGAGATTGTAACTAGAATTGTGGTTCTCAAAGTAGACACATAATTATTGAATTTTTTCCTTTTTATTGAAAAATCTAGAAAAAGTAATATATACTTCTTATTTTATGTAGCCCAGATTTTAGCATGGTTTTGAATACCTGTTTAAACAGAGGATTCAGCAGACTTCTGGACAATATGGCTGAATTCTTTCGACCTACAGAACAGGACCTCCAGTATGGCAACTCCATGAATAGGTAAGGTAACACAGAAAAATGATACCATACTCAAAACATAGTGCTTTTAGCTGTGTTTATTTTGTTGTTGTTGGTGGTGGTGGTGGTCATGGGGCTTGAACTCTGAGCCTGGCGGCTGTCCCTCAGCTCTTCAGCTCAAGGCTAGCGCTCTACCACTTGAGCCACAGTGCCACTTCTGGTTTTCTGGTGGTTTATTGGAGATAAGAGTCTCAGATTTTCCTGCCCAGACTGGCTTTAAACCGTAATCCTCAGATCTCAGCTTCCTGAGTAGCTATGATTACAGGTATGAGCCACTGGTGCCTGTCTTTATATAATCATTTTTCAAAAATCAAACTTTGGAATTTTAAAGAAGATAAAAAAATTCTTATACCCCAAAAAAGCAAAAAAAATATATTCAGAGAGTTAGGGCTTAAGTTAAAAAATAAAATACAAAATCATGAATACATACATATATGTATATAAGAATTTTTCCATTAAGTCAGTTTTAATTGTTATTTCTGTGTGGAACAATTCTATTTGAGTTTGTTAAACATATTTTTGTAAGTATCCTTCAATGTCTATATTGGTTGTATAATTAAAATGTTAAAATAAAGTCGGGCACAAGTGGCTCACACCTATAATCCTAGATACTCAGGAGGCTGAGATATAAGGATTGTGGTTCAAAGCCACATCCAGGCAAGAAAGTCTGTGAAACTCTTCTCTCCAATTAACTACTACCAAAAAAGCCCGAAGTGGGCATGTAGCTCAAATTGTAGAGTGCTAGTCTAGAGCAGAAAAGTTCAGGGACTGTACCCAGGCCCTGAGTTTAAGCCTCAGCACTGGAACCAAAAAAAAAAAAAAGTTAAAATGTCTATAAGGGAATTTCAAAAATTAATTACTGTGCTAATTTTTTCAGTCTCTCTAGTGTCAGCCTGCCTTTAGCTAAGATAATTCCCATAGTAAATGGACAGATCCATTCCGTTTGCAGTGAAACACCTAGTCATTTTGTTCAGGTAAGAAGAAAGCTTGGGGGTATTTTTGAAAACAAATTGCATTCATGATGCGATCGTTTTCTAACATAAAACTACATTCTCTGATGGTTTATTTTATAAAAACAAAAATTGGAAACTGCAATATGAGTGTGGCAGAATGCCTATGGGAGTAATAATATTTAATAGTAATTTATACAGTTGGGAATACATTTTCCATGTTACAGCATAAATACATATTTACTGCACTATAGTCCAGACACATTGTAAGTGTTAGCTGAATTTACGTAGTGTTATCATGTGTTGCGGTAAAGATTTGGTGCCTCATAGAAACTAAGGAGGACAAGAAAATTTTGTAAAAAAATAAAAATAAAGCATTGTAGTAATTAACAAAATATAACTATAATAGTGCATCAGTAATCCATCACTAAAAGCTGCATAAGCAATGAAGTACTTAGTTTTTTCACTAGACTACCTCCAGCTCCATTTTTTGGGGGAATGCATTGAGTAAAACTGATTTTAATAGGAGTACAATGATAATTTTTTCATAGTTTTACATTCCCAAATCCCTTAGGAGAAGTTAAGCACCTTTGATCTAAATTATGTTATTTGTCCATATGTGTTATGCATATGTAAAATATGCATACTACACATACACAAATCATGTTAAAATACAAAATCGTGTTATGTGTATATCAAAAGTATCTGTAGGCTTACGACTTTTGTATGCCCTCATTTATTCAGTAGAAATTCTTGTAGCACCTAACCTACACAAAGACTATTTTAGATTCTTTCCCCTATATTATACCACTGTCTTTCTCGTAAGAACCTAAACAATGCATTATTTCCTATAGTCTATTACAAGAAAAAGATTCCTTCTCATAAATGGCATCCTTCTTATCCTTAAATACCACGAAGTTACAAGTAAATTCCTGGCTTATTTGGAGTGAGTTCAGATTCATCAGTGTGTCCGAACGCGACGTTTCCCTGTCTTCTTTGCTAGGACCTGTTGATGATGGAACAGGTGAGAGACTTCGCTGCTAATGTGTACGAAGCCTTCAGCACCCCTCAGCAGCTGGAGAAGTGAGACTTTTTCCTTCAAGAAAAACTCTTGGGATCCATTCATGCTACAAAATACATGGAATGAATCAACTATACCTAGAGCAACAATTTGTTACCAAAATGCCTAATAAAAATATATTCTTAATCAAAGTCTTCATTTCATAATGAAGTAGATTTATTTAGCATCTTAATATATTTTTAAGCCCATCAAAAAACCAGTTTTTGTGAATATATGTACACACAGTGCAAATAATGGAATTTATAGTTTGTTACACCATGGATATTTGATCCAAACTGACTAAAAACAAATGTAGATACTTTTATACATATATACTTATGAGATGAAATGTTGTGTACTTTGACATTAATCTTGAGAAAAAAATCTATTTGGGAAATAGGTCTAAGATGTGTGGAGTTTGGGAAATCTGCTTTTTAACTAATCAAAGTTAATTGCACTCTGCCTTTATAACAAAAGTAAATCAGACTTTTCTCCAGTTATCCTTTAGAGGAATAAATGGCTGTCTCAGATACACCCAGCAGACTTTCCTTCTTAGGAAAATCAGTGAACTTTAACAATTACAATCAGCTCCTTTTTCCTTTGCTATTTCTCTGTGGTATTTTCTAAGGCTTACCTTAGAGAATTTTAAACTGACCTATAAGCTAAAATTGTGTTGACACTGTGCATGGCTATTATTGATTACATAGTTTTATGTAAATACTTCTAACAACTTACTTTGTATTGATTTTGAGTACATTGAATATCTTATTGCAATAAACTATTTTAATAAAATAGAATTTGTCTAGTTAATACTTTTCAACCATTCATATATTTGACCCCTACTATTTTTGCTGTTATTTTTGGAGAACAGAGGTTTTTAAATTTTCATTTTAGCTGGTAAGGTGATGCTTTTAACTTTCTTATAGAAAAAATAATACTACATTTTAAAAAAGAACTGATTATTTCTATACATTTAGAAGTGCAATGAGGTCAGAAATAAATGAATCATTGTCATCAGTGTCAGTATCTTGCTAGGAATGGCTTATTTTCATAATATCAATTTATGTTCTCCCTATAAATTAGATAGCTAAATAGAAGAGGGTAAGAAATGAATAGTGAAGTCTTAATTGTACAAGGGGTTATTTTGGTGCAGTATTTCCATATGTGTAGTATACTTTAATCATTCCTTTTACTGTTCTTTCTCCCTCCTCTTTTAAATTATTTTAACAGGTTTCATTTTTTCATGTGTATTTAAAATACTTCCAATGTGTTTGTCACCCTTGAGCTTTTCACCTCCCCCTCCTCCCACTGTTTCTACTCTAATAGTCCTAGTCTTAGACTTAGGTCATTTTTTTTTTTTGTCTAGATTCCATATATGAGGAAAAACATAATATTTCTTTCAAAAAATGGCTTATTTCACTTTAACATGAAGATCTTCAGTTCCATTTTCCTGCAAATGACTTCATTCTTTATTTTAAAAAGACTGTATGTTTCCTCATTTGTATTTTATTTTTAATATAATTTTATTGTTATTCTTAAAGTATTATACAGAGGGTTTACCATTTCATTAGTCAGGCAGTGAGTAGATTTCTTTCTTTGTTTGGAGTTTTTTTTGTTTTGTTTTACTGGTTATGGGGCTTGAACTGAGGGCCTGGGCCCTCTTTTTGTTCAAGGCTAGTGATCTACCACTTTCAGCCACAGCACTACTTCCAGTTTTCTGGTGGTTAATTGGAGATAAGTCTCACAGACTTTGCTTCCTAGGCTGGCTTTGAACTGCGATCCTCAAATCTCAGCCTCCTGAATACCTACGTTTACAACTATGAGCCGTCAGCACCTGGCTGAGTACATTTCTTTTTTCAAAAATGTCACCCCTTCCTTTGCTCTGCCCCAGTTCCTGCTCCATCCCTGCCCACAAATTACATAGTACATAGTTCATGTGGGGGTGGGGGTGGGGGGACGGGAATACTAGGGATTGAACTCGGGGCTTTATCATTTGAGCCATGTTTTCTAGTTTTTATTATTTATTGATTTTTTTCAGATAGGGTATCATTTTGCCAGGGACTACTTGACCACTGCTCTTCTCAGCCCACTACCCTCCTACCTACACCTTCTCTGTAGCTAGGATTACAGGTATGTGTCACCACGCCCAGCTTATCATAATCTTGTGATCAGGTTTCTAGTTCTCCTGCACTAGATGATGGCTTCCAACCACAATCCTCCCTTACCTGCCTTCCAAGTAGCTGAGATTACAGGTATGTTTTGTTCCTCAGTTGATGAGCACCTACGCTGGTTCCACAGTTTGACTGCTGTGATAGTACTGCTATAAGCATGGGTGTGCAGGTATCTACAGCATGCTCATTTATATTCCTTCAGCTATTTGCCCAGGAGTGCTATAACAGAATCATAGGGTAGTTCGGACTTTATAGTGTTTTGAGGGACCTCCATACTGACTTGTATAGTGTCTGCACTACTTCACACTCCTAGCAACAATGTATAAGGCATAAGGTTCCTCCTCCACCCCATCCTTGCCAGTGTCTATAGCTGTTTTCTTTTTGTTGGTGGTGGTAGTCATGGGGCTTGAACTCTGGGCCTGGGCGCTGTCCCTCAGCTCTTCAGCTCAAGGCTAGCACTCTACCATTTGAGCCACAGTGCCACTTCCGGTTTTCTGGTGGTTTACTGGAGATGAGTCTCACAGACTTTCCTGCCCAGGCTGGCTTTGAACTATGAACCTCAGATCTCACTCAGCCTCCTGAATAGCTAGGATGACAGGCGTGAGCCACTGGAGCCTGGCTATTGCTGTTTTCTTGATATTAGCTACTGAGACTGGGGTAAAATGGAATCTCTGTGTCCTTTTGATTTGAGTGTCCCTGGTGGCTATGTTGAACATATTTGCATCTGTTTCTTTTTTTGGGGGGGCGGGGGGAAAGGGGATAGGGGTGGGCAAGTACTGGGACTTGAATTTGGGGCCTAGGTTCTATACCTTAATTTTATCATTCAAGTCTGGCATTGTACCACTTGAACCACAGCTCCACTTGCCGATTTTTTTTTGTCGGTCACGGGGCTTGAACTCTGGGCCTGGGTGCTGTCCCTCCACTCTTCAGCTCAAGGTGAGCGCTCTACCACTTGAGCCACAGTGCTACTTCCAGTTTTCTGGTGGTTTACTGGAGATACGAGTCTCACTGACATTCTTACCTGGGCTGGCTTTGAACCGTGATCCTCAGATCTCAGCCCCCTGAGTAACCAGGATTACAGGTGTGAGCCACCAGCACCCAGCCCACTTGCTGATTTTTGCTGGTTAATTGGAGATAAAGAGTCTCACCGACTTTCCTGCCTGGGCTGGCCTTGAACCATGATCCTCAGGTCTTGGTTTCCTTAGTAGCTGGGATTACACTGTTGCCCAGCTCATCATCTATTTATTGGCCATTTCTATTTGTTTGGAAAACTTTCATTCATTTGCCCACTCATTAATTAGGTTGTTTGTTCTTTGGCATTTAATATTTGGATCCCTTCTTATATTCTGGAGATTAATCCTTCAGCCAATAAAAAAATAGCCGGCAAAGATTTTTCTCCAATTTCAGACTGTCTATTGATTATTGATTCTGATAAAGGTCTCTCTCATTCTCTTTTTTTTTTTTTTTTTTTTTTTGCTGTGTAGAAGCTTTTTAATTTCACATGATCCCTTCATGCAACCTTAATAACTTCTTTAAAGGTTCTATTTCCAGGTACCCTACATAGGAATAGGAGAGCATTACCAATTCCTAGTTGCTCTAAAACAAAGTTCTACCTCTGACTTACACATAGACACAAATCCAATGTTAAGAGACTTTATGGAAAAATTCAGAGGAAAGCTAAAATGGTTGCCATGTGTGATTTAGTGAAGAACTTAGGGAGAAGGAAAAAAAGGGCTGCACTGCCTAATTATTTGGCTTTTCTTGGTCAGTGGTACATTTGCTTTCTCCATGTGCTATCACAGTAAACACATGGCGTCCTTAGAGCTCAAGTTAACCAGTATGGGCCTCTGGTACATGTTAGGTTACGTTTGTCAGTGCAAGTGCCCAGCCCCATTCACAGGGCATCTCGTCAATGCTCAGCTGCGGCAACTCTACCATAATGCCACTTGGCTTGGCCAAAGTCCAGTTAAGTGGTTGTCCATGGCCCAGTAGATTCACCTGAAATAAAAAACATAAACACAGATGTTTTCTAATGTATCTCTTTGACTCAGATGTTCTACGGGGAAGGAACAACTGGTATTTCTAAATACACACACACATACACACACACACACACAAACACACACACATACACACACACACACACACTAGACACAGAATATTCATTTGTTTAACCTTTAGCCATTCACATGCTATTTGAGTAAATGGTATTCACAACCCTATATAAATGCCTCTATCTTACTCCTCTGTTACTCGCAAGAGGGAAATAAAAATGTGCAGATTGGAGAATATATTGTGAAGGTTGAATGGAGCATTAGAGTAGGGACTGAAAATGACTGAAATAATCTGCCCAGCGTGGGCCTGCCCATTTCTTACATGAAACGTTTGAAGAAAGGCTCCCTTCTCCAGGTCAGCCTCCAATCCTCCCCATGTTTGCCAATAACCTCCCAAGAATACATAATAATGTTAAGTCTAATCAACAATTACTAGAATTGTTTTATGTCCTGTCTCAATTATACTCAGTGAATTCAAGAAAGTAGTTCTCTATAGGTTCTACAGTTACTGTAAGCCATACATTTTTACCTATCAGATGGATCAATTGAAAAAAAAAATGCACTTTGACAGTACTTTTTTTTCCAAAGAGAATCTAGGCAAAAGGTTAATATTATTGTCTATCTTTTCCAGTTGTACTTAGTTTTGGCAGTACTGGGGTTTGAGTTCTGTACCTTGTACTTGCTTATCTGGTGCTCTACCATTTGAGTCAAGGCTCTAGCTCTGTTTTTTGTTGTTTATTTGTGTGAAAGAAGTTCTTTTTTTTTTTTTTTTTAAATCGAAGTCAATTGCTTCTGTCAACCTTGTGAGAAATGTTTTCCTGAAGAGGTCAAGTGGCTTAGCCCTTGTTACATTTTAGCTACATCCTTCTCCTGCTGCATTTTAATTAAGACATCCTGTTAGAATCTCCTTGAATTTTAGTTATACCCTGTTAATGAAGCCACATCCTTTTGCAGATTGTGAATTTGTGTTTAGCCAGTGCAAGCAGAGGGCTTGACTAAGAATAAAAAGGGAGTGGCCTGCATGCTGAGTGCTTGCTCGGCAGACTTTTTGGCTGAGGATACACCTTTCTGGACTTTGCCTTGCTAGATCCTTTTTCAGTTGGTGTTATTTCTATGGGACATCTCAACATCTCAAGCCATTTCTAACACTTTAGAGATCGAGTGTAGTGAACATTTCTGTCCTGGCTGTCTTTGATCATCCAGATCTCAGCCTCGGTAGATAGAATTATAAGCACGAGCTTTAGCAGCACCTGTTAAAGCTATAGTTCAATGTTAGAGTTGAGCTGTCTTCTTTCTGCCTGATAGGTGTTGGAAATTAATTGCAAGAGGTGGCATAGGAAAACTTCCAAATGAATCAACACATTAACTAATGACTACCACCATCTTGACTGGAACAGCAGGGTCATGCCGTCTTACTTTTCTTCAGATGTGCTCTGGGGAATAATTAGGGGAAACTCCTGAATTCTAGTTTTTTAAAAAAAATTCATGTTGGGTGCATTCAGTGAACTTGAACAGAGAAAAACTATGAAGGATATTATTACATGACATGCTTGGAGATACTGCAGCTTACAAATTGAGGAATTTGTTTTGTTTTAGCAGTGTTAGAGTTCAAGTGCAAGGCCTTGAGATTGCTAGGCAAGTGCTCTACCACTTGAGCCATGCCTCCAGTCCTTTTTATGTTTCCAGGATAGCAGAGTACCTGAAGTCTTGTCTAGGTGACAGACCATACCACTAAAGCCAGGGTTTTTTTTAATAGGTTGAAATGGAGTCTTGTAAACTTTTTGCCTGAGCTGACATTGCATTGTAATCCTCACAATCTCAGCCTCCCAAGTAGGTAGGATTATGAGCTTATAGCCAAAATATGTGGCTCTAAGCTTAATTTTCTTAGGAAAAATTTCAAAGTTTTTGCTAAATATTTATCGATTTTAAGACTCATTTTAAGGTTACTCTAAGAGGAGAAGTTATGTTCTTACCAGAACATTTTAGTCAACAATTTAAAAACTAATAAATGCACATTTCCCTCTTACCTTTGTTGCCCCCACACTAGCTTTGGGTTGGCCAAGGAACAGCTGTCCAGAGGTGGGCCATCTAAGGAAAATGGCATAGACTGACTTTTCCTTAGAGTTAGCTGTGTACCTGGTTAGAATTTAAAATAAAAAGCATTATGACAAGTTACAGCCTATGTTTCTCATCCTTGGGTCGGGCATGGGATTGTTTTACAGAATTATTCTCATATTGCAAATATCTACCCACTTCCTGGTGCTATAAAAAGCACCCCCCCCCCCTTCTACTCCTCCAACATTTAAAAAAAAAATTTGTTGCTGGGTACCAGTGGCTCACACCTTTGATCCTAGTCACTCAGAAGGCTGAGATCTGAAGACCACATTTTGAAGCCAGTTTGGGCAGGAAAGTCCATGAGACTCTTGTCTCCAATTACCCAGAAAATAGACCCAGAAATGCAGACCAAATGTTAAGAGTGCCAGCCTTGAGGGAAAAAAAAGGTAAGACACAGTACCTAGGGCCTCAGTACTAGCAAGCAGAGAAAAAGAAAGAAGGGGGGGAGGAAGGAGGGTGGGAAGGAAGGAGGGCGGGATGGAAGGAAGGAAAGAAAGGAAGGAAGGGATGGAGGGAGAGCGGAAGGAAGGGAAGGGAAGGGAAAGAAGGAACAAAGGAATGAAGGGAGAAAAGAGAAGGGAAAAGATGGGGAGAGGAAAGGAAAGAACCTGTTCCTATGTGACTTTTGGAAAGCAGCTACTAAAACAGGAGGAACTGAAGATGAGGACCAAAAAAGGAGAACTCAAAAAAGGAGAACTCTTGCATGGAATGATTTGGGATCCAGAAAACAGGGTTGGTCTTAAAGCCAAGATGAGCTAATTTACCCTTGTCCAAGAATGCATGTGTTTCTAGACATACCCAGAAGTTCATGGTAAAGTGGAAAAAGTACAGTTGATTATTTATCTGTATGACTGTGTGTATGCTCACACACACAAGAAATAGGGCTTGAATAATTCAGGGCCTTATGCTCTCACTTGGCTTTTCACTCAAGGTGGTGGTCTACCACTTGAGTCACGTCTACATTTCCAGCTTTCTGGGGTTTTTTGCTGGTTAACTGGACATAAGAGTTCCTTGGATTTGTTGCCCAGGCTGGCTTTGAACTATGATTCTCAGATCTCAGCCTCCTGAGTAGCTTGGATGGCAGGTGTGAGCCACTGGCTTGCCCGCTCTTTTTTAAGGAACTACTACAGTGTTTCCCAAATGGCTACACCACTTTACATTCCCACTAACAAGGCACAAGGGTTCTAATCTCTCCAATGTCTCCATTACCATTTATTATTTTTTTTAAGTAGTAGCTTTCTAATGGATGCAAGGTTGTACCTTAGTAGCTTTTATCTGCATTTATTCCAATAATGATTATGGAGTCAAGTTATTTTTTCTGGTACTTGTTAATCATGACACAAATTCTACTAGTACAACTACCGACTAGAGAAGCAAGCCAGATACCCCCAGTGCTTCATACACTACCATTTTCCCACTATCCTCACTGTTTTGGCTGATTTTAACTTATTGTCTCTGGGGGGAGGGGGTTACTTGCTAATTTGGTGGTATGTCTTACCTGAAAGTTTGAATTTACCAAACTGACTAAATTGTAGTCTGTCTTATATTCGCCAATCAATTAACCATTTTTACTTACTAGAACAGCTTACAATTTTATTTTTTTAAAAAGCTCACTGCTCTTAACTGAACTTTGTACTCTGCTATCTCTAGAAATGACTTCAGCAGAAATGGATAGACACTCCGTTTAAAAACATGCCAAGTCTTCTCCTTCCTTCTTCTCTTTGTACCTCACTAAGTTATCACGCGGTTTCTGTATAGTACTCTTCTGATTTCTCCCTTATCTTCCTTTTCTCTTTCTATCTCTGAGAAATTCTAAGTGCCTTGCCCTATCGAATATCACTTTTAGACAACCAGAAAGACTTACCACACCTCTGGGGTAAGAGTGTCGTTCTGAGATCGCCAAGGGCTGGTTTCATAAATGGCTTTCCCATTGACTTTCAGCCAGCTCCCCATTTGCCTCAGTCTCTCCTCAAAAATGACAGAAATGATGCCATCTGATGTGGGGCCAATGTTCATCAGAAGATTTCCTCCACAAGCAACTGTCTCCACTAGTTGCTGAAAAATTAAGAATAAACGCAGTTCTCAGAAAAGAAAAATTCTACTTACATTGCTTTTTTTTTTTCTTGGTGCAAATCCGGGTCTTGGATGCAGGGTCTGTGTACCTTCCCTTACTTCTCTTGCTCAAAGCTAGCACTGTACCACTTGAGTCAAAGCTCCACTTAAGAGTTTTTTTAGTAGGTTATTGGAGATAAGACTTTGCTGCCCAAGCTAGCTTTGAACTGTGATAGATCTCACCCTCCTAAGTAACTAGGATTAGATAGGAGCCATTAATGCCCAGCTGATCATGCTTTTTTTTTTTTTTCTTTTGTCAGTCGTGGGGCCCAAACTTTGGACCTGGGCAATGTCCCTGAGCTCTTCAGCTCAAGGCTAGCGCTCTACCACTTGAGCCACAGTGCTACTCCAGACTTTTCTGCTTATATGGTGCTGAGAAATCGAACCCGGGGCCTCATGCATATAAGGCAAGCACTCTACCACTGAGCCAACTTGCCAGCCCTGATCATGCATTTTTATATCTACATAGTAACTAGCTAGAAGTAGAGGCATAGATTATACTAATAATCTGTGTTTGCATGCCACCAAAGAACCCAGATTACAAGAAACAGTTCTTGTACAAACTCACATTTAAGAATACTACAAGCGGGGCACTGGTGACTCAGGCTTGTAATCCTACTCAAGATTGAGATCTGAGGTCCAAAGCCAGCTCTTGGAGAAAAGTCTGTAAGACTCTTATCTCCAATTAATTACCCCAAAGCCAGAAGCAGAACAATGGCTCAAGTGGCCGAGCACCAGCCTTGAGTGAAAAAGCTAAGCAATAGAGCCTAGACCCTGAGTTCAAGACACCATACTGGCACCAAAGAAAAAAAAGAGAGAGAGAGAGACTATTTCAATATTCCAGTAGAGGAGCCAGGCACGGTGGTATAGGCCTGTGATCCCAGCATTCTCTGAGGAGGCTGAGGTAGGAGAACCATGAATTTGTGACTAATCTAGGTTATATAGTGAAACCCTATTTTAAAAAAACAAAAAACTAGCTACCAGACACTGTACCGTACCTTCACCAATTCTTCAATCGTTAGATAGTCTCCAATCCAAGCTTCCTTCCTGTAGCCCCAAGACGACTTGTCTATTGTCATGCAGTTTTCCCACTTATGTGGCAAAAGATGTCCTGGGTTATATCGATCGCTGCAGGTGTAGTAACCGCCATGCTTGCACATGCAGCCCGCTCCCCAGCGGTCATTGGTGACCACAGTATCCCGAACTGGGCTGAAAGGAAAAACACTTTAAATTAACAACGATAAAAATAATGATAATAATAACAAAGTGGTTTCTAGTACAAAAGGAAATGTCACTTGTAGACAGTTCTATCTGAAAGTCACTCTTAAAAATGTCCATAGCCTATGAGTGGAAAGCCCAGGGTTATGAAGTCCAACAGACTTGGGGTAACTGGGGTCCTTACTCACAGAACAACAGCATGTTCTCTAACTGCTCTCCATAATGAATTCCCTTAGCATTATTAGAACAAAAGTAACTGAGGAAATACTCAGGCCAGTGCCCCACATAAGGAAGGGTATTATGTGATTATTTGAACCTCCACCTCTGACACTGTGAATGGCAGCCAAAACTGAATTTAAACTCAATTAGTATTCTTACCAAGGATTAGTCTACGTGTATTTCATATATAATATTAAACCTATTATATAACAATGCATGTGTAATATACATATGTTATAGACACATGTACACACAGCTTTTATATTTGTGATGTGTATTATATACCATATATATGTGCAATACATATCACACAGATAGTGTACATATGGCGTGTACATGTACACACTAGGCTTTCTTTTATGATTGTGCCTAATGAAAAAGCTAAATAAAGCAGAGGCATGTGACAGATGCCTATAATACCAGCTACAGAGGAATCATAATAGAAAGATTACAGTCCAAGGCTAGACCCTTTCTGAAAACCTAATGCAAAAAGAGCTGAAGGTGTAGCTCAAATGGTAGAGCATGTGCCTAGCAAAGTATAAGGCCAGAAGTCAAATCCCCAAAAGTATCCTCAAAAGAAAAAAAAAAGAAATTTTTTTAAAACCACCTTAAATTCCCCCATGTACATTCCACAGCTCAGCTGATGTGGAGATGCTCTTAGCAAGTTTTACTTACTTGTCACTGTGGTTAAGTCACTGAGTAGTGACTTAGTGTTTAGTGTTTCCCTACCCTTAGTTTTGTGCAAATATGTCTTCCAAAAAGCAAGGTAAAAATGTGCTCAATCTAAACAATCATGTGAAAGTCAGAGATTTGTTGAGACGTGGCACATCGTGTGCATATGGGAAAAATGAATCCCTTTTCTGCTGTATAGTCCTGAACTCTAGGCATTCCGAGCGTGTGTGGTTTTTCCACAGTGGTAGTCTCCTTGGAACAAGATTCCTGCAGATAGCAAGAGTCTACTGTACTGTCTTCAAGTTCATCCTTTACTTTTTCTTAATCCCATTCTCTCCTCTCCTTTTAAAACATATATACTATTTCATACATATATAATGAAAGATAATGGACCTAGATCACATTTCTTACATCACCCTCTCCTTTTCTCCCCTCCCTTTCTCAGTCTCCCCTTCCTTCATCATGTGATATTTGTCTTTCTGAATTTGGTTTCTCTCTCTGAACATGATGATCTCCAGTTCCAACCATTTCCCTGGAACTACACGATTCCATTCTTGGTTATGGCTGAATATGCATTGTGTATATGTTCTACGTTTTCTTTATCCATTCCAATTTCCCCACAATATTTCTTATCATGACTGGTAGTTCACACAGAGGAAACTGGGTTCCACTTACAGTGAACAGTTTTGATTCACCACATTGAAGAAGATGGGTTTTCCCCTTGGAAGAAGGTCTGGAGACACTGCTGCTTTGAATAATTTCAAGAGTTCTTCAGAACATTTTTGTTTGGGCCCTTTGGGAATCCAGGAAGCACATATAAAGGACTGCCTGTTTTCATACAAAGTATGGAGCACCTTCTACTTAAGCAAACTAACGGAGGATCTCCTCAGAGCTCCATGCTCTCTTAGACAACCTTGAAAATGCCAGGAAAGAACAGAAGGTAAGATCTTGATAGTTAAGGAAAAGAGGAGGCAGACTGACATCAACAAGGTGGCCAGGCCTGTTGGAAGGTAAAACAAACAAACAAACAAAAAAACAACAAAAAGAAGGAATCAAAAGAATGGAAGGACACATAGTTAGGAGCAATGATGTCTTGGTCCTAAAAGAACAGAGTAGGAGATAAAAATAGGGACCTATGAAATGAGTACTTTTTCTTTTTAATGGTTCTGAGGTTTGAACTCATGTTCTTAATGCACTTGAGCCACATATACAATCATTTTGCCTTAGTTCTTTTTCTCAAAGAGTCTCTCATTTTTTGTCTGCACTGGCATGGACTATGATCCTATTTATGCTTCTCACATATCTGGGATAAATGGCACATACCATTGTGTCAAGCTTTTTGCTGGTTGAGGTGGTCTTGAAAAATTTTTGATCAGGATAGTCTTGAACAACAGTCCACCTGACACTGCTTCCCTCATAGCCAAAATGAAAACTTCAAAAGTCTTTGATGCTGCGCACGCACGTGCACACACACCAGTTCTGGGGTATGAACTCAGGTCAGTCTGTCCCTGAGCTCAAGGTTAGTGCTCTACCACTTAAGATACAGCCCCATTTCTAGCTTTTTGGTGGCAAATTCGAGATAAGAATCTCACAGACGAGCCAGGCACCGGTGGCTCATGCCTGTAATCCTATCAACTCAGGAGGCTGAGATCTGAGGATCGTAGTTCAAAGCCAGCCCAGGAAGGAAAGTCCATGAGACTTTTATCTCCAATAAACCACTAGAAAACCAGAAGTGGTGCTGTGGCTCAAGCGGTAGAGCGCTTGCCTTGAGCTGAAGAGCCCAGGGACAGCACCCAAGCCCAGAGTTCAAGCCCCAAGACCGGAAAAAAAAAAAAAAAATCTCACAGTTTCCTGGCCAGGCTGGCTTTGAACCACAATCTTCAGATCTTAACCTTCTGAATAACCAGGATTATAGGCATGAGCCACTGGAACCTAGAGATCTTGTGTTGTTGTTTTTTTGTTGGTTTTTTTTTTATCTTAATTTCAAAATAAGGCATGTTTTAAATTTAACTCCTGAAGAGTTTGGAGAAAAAATTGCTATAACTAATAAGCACTGTTTGCAATGATACCCTCCCCCCACCTCAAATTACAAATACATCTAAAAGGAAATACTTTAAGAAACCTGGGAGTTAGAATGCTCCATGTGTCTTAGAAGCATCTGAGGCAGATACAACATACCTGTCATTATACAGCCACGCAAGGAAGCCCGTGCTGTTCCAGTATTGGTCCGTTGCTCCTCCATCTCCATCTGACCACAGAACATCTGGCTGATACCTGTTCACTAGCTCATAGAGCTCAGGCAATGCCTTTGAAAATGGAAACTGTCGCGTAGAGAAGAAAGTGGATTCATCCTGAAGGAAGTACGGATGAAACCACTCAAAAAGCGAATAGTAGAGTCCAAAGCGCAAGTCAGTTCTTTTCCTAATGGCCATCTCAAGTTCTCTGACAATGTCCCTCTTCGGCCCCACATCCACAGCATTCCAGTTCCAGGAATTCTCTGAACCCCAAAGGGTAAAACCTGAGGAAGAAGATTTAAAATCCTTGTAAGGCAATATCAACTTTACTTCGGTAAATGTAACCCACAAATATGTCAGAACAAATCAGATACGATACATAGATAACTGCTTATACAAACAAGTGCTTCATGATGGTTTTTTTCATGGTCTATCTTCTGCTTTTTACTTACCTATGATTTTACTATCTTCAGGTCGTTGTACAAAAAGGTTTCGTTCAACATGTGAGTTTGTGAGTACAACGCGTCTTAATCAATGTCACCCCTTCCATCGTTCTCTCCCCTTCCCATCTATTCTCCCCCCACCCATCTCTCACATTCTGTTCTGATGAGAGAAACAATGTGGGAAAGTTCGGGGCTCCTTGTGAGGACTGGATGGCCCAGTATTCTTCCTTACAGACTTTGAGATCTGTGAGGAAACCCTCGTGTTATATACCTAGCAACTGCTGGCACAGAGGCTAACATGAAACAAGGAATCAACAACAGCAGACCACAGCTCAGAGAGGAACAGCTTCTACCTCTCCCGGCTAATCAAAGGTCACCACCATTGATAATGAAGACGCTGAGTTAGATTCCTGCAAGATTCTTGTCTGCTCCAAGAGCCAGGTACACTGCTTGCTTGAGGACTGTGTTTCCTGACAATGTTTTCATTACAGACAGTAAATCCCTACACCTTGAGAGCTCATTAAGGGGTAGGAGGAGGTGACAGAGAGGACACACACCACAGGACATTATTTCTCACTAATTCTGTACTTTAAATGCACCCACTGTAAAGCTGTAGACTCGGTCGTTGCTCTGAACTTACCTTCATGATGCTTGGAAGTTAAGACAACGTATTTGGCCCCCGAGGCCTGAAGAATTTCTGCCCACTGATTGGCATTAAAAAACTTGGCTGTAAACTGTGGCCCAAAATCTTCATAATTAAAACCAGGGGAGTAATTATCATTCATAAAGTTTACAAACTGTGGTCGTTTTTCCTTTTGCCAGTACCACCTATGGGAGAAGAGGAATGAACACAGGCACCACACGGATGCATCCATTTGAAATGACAACCCCGCCCTCCCCTTCCTCCGGTGTCCCCCTCTTTACCTCCACATCCTGTGACTACAAGCCACGCCACCCTCCTCCTGTCCCATTGGCACCTGTCCCACCATGAAATCTTCTCAGCTCAGAAACAGGAGTTCTAGAGAACCCATTCTCATTCCCCAGTCTTTAAAGCACTACATATAACACCTGTGTTGACGTATTAAGTGACTTTGTAACCAGAGGGATGAAGGTTTCTAAAGCCAAGAAGATATGCGTCAAAACCTAAACAACGTGATGAGGGAAGGTGGGGGACAGCAGAAAGGCTGGTAAGAGTGAAATTATGAAGACGCTGTTGTTTTATAGATTGATTCAAATTTAAAACGTACTTGTGACACAGACTCTTTCTGGCCAATACTATATTGAGCCTAAACAGCTTCACTCTGGTAACTTAACAAAAAGAACATCTGAACCAGGCACTGTAGCTCACACTTGTAATCCTAGTTTTATTCAGGAGTTGAGATCTGGAGTATTACAATTTGAAGCCATTCCTGACACACACACACACCCAAAAAAAGTCCATGAAAGTCCAAAATAAGCAGCAAAAAGCAGGACTAGAGGCATGACTCAAGTGATAGAACAGCAGCGTGAGCAAGAAAGCCGAGAAAACTCAAGGCCTTAAGTTCAAGCTACAGGGGTAGGGGCAGAATGAAAACTATCTAAAACACGGTAGATCTACCCATCAGGAACTGTCCTCATGACCTAGATGCAAGCCCCTGTCTCTGGCCCACCTCCACTTGGTCCAGCTCCTCTCCCTCTGTAAGAATATTTCCATAGTAAGCTCTACATCTCTCAAATGACCAGGAGCCTATACTGGCTGACAAGACTTCACTCAAGGACATCAGATGCAGTTCCAAAGACATGTTCCAGTCCAAAGTCACCTACCTACGGTACCAGCTTATGTGGCAGCTACAGCATGGGTATGCAACCCAGCCATGCCTGTGGATGAGGAGGAGAAGGCAATCTGGGAGACCAAGAATGGTCTGCTTCCTGAGACAAAGAGAAGTTGGCTCTCTATTGGGACAAGCTTGAAGGCCATGTGGGCTTATGATGGCTGGCCTCCGTCATATGACTACAAGGGTCAAGTCCACGGAAAATGCCTATGTCATCAATTTCACCAGTGTGCTGACAGATTCCCTCTAAATGTCTAGTTCTGTGAGATCCTGAGTCCCTATTACATCTTTCAGTTGGGTTTTTGGAACCTCAAAATGAAAAGCCAACTGATGAATTGAAGCACTTTTGTTTAATGTGGGAGTTTGGGGTCTGTTTGGTGGGCTCTGTTGGTAGGACTGGACCCAGGATCCCCTCCACACATAAGCCCTACTACTAACTCATACCTCCATCCTGCACTGTATATGGAGATACGTATGTGTGTGTATATATGTATGTAGGCCTGTATGTATGTATTTGAGGCAGGGTCTGCACCAGCTTTTACTTACTTGTTTATGTTTGTTTATTTAAGACAGTCTCACCCAAGTTGGCCTGGAACTAGCTATGAAGACCAAGCTGGCCTTGACCTCCTAATCCTCTGAGTCATCTGAATGCTGGGATTACAGGCATGAACCACCATGCCTGCCTGCCTTTTTTTTTTTTTTACCTTTTTTAATTGCACTATAAAGAAATAAACTGTCCAGAGCAACACAGCCAGACACACATACACAGAGATACACATCTACATATATAAATACGTGTAGTAACATGTTTATCTTATTAAGTACCATGGGATCACGTTCAAGGGATCATGTGCAGATGTTGAAACTGATCCTTAAGTAAAACCAAATGCACTTTAACATGCTTTATCTTTCATACAGTGATCTATTAACAACGTAAAGGTTTGTTGTCCTTTTGTTGTTTGTTTGCTTGGGGTACCATTCTTTAAAAAACAACAACAACAACAACAAAAGTTCCTACCACAGGGGTCCATGGTTCACACCAGTAAACCGCAGGACGCCGGAGGCTGAGATCCGAGGATAGGGTTTGAAGCCAGCAGGGGCAGGAAAGTCTCTGAGACTCTGATCTCCATCCAATTAACTAGCAACCGGCTGGAAGCTGACCTGTGTCTCAATTACAGCCTTGTGCTCGAGGACAAGGTCCGGGCCTCAATTCGAGGCCCAGGACCGGCAGGAAGGAAAGCAAGAAGTCCTGGTTCCACACCTGCAACGCTTCGCCCTGAAGAGCCCTTCAGAGGCTCCCGCGGGGCGTTCAGGGGTCAGGAGGTGGAGCAGGTGCAGCAGCACTTGCGGGGTGACACCCCCCGCACCCCCGGCCGGAGCGACCCTCCCGGCGGGAAGCAGCCCACCGTGGCCTCGCGGGGTGGAACCGAGTCCCGACACACCGGGGCGCAGAGCCCGGGCCGCGGCGACTCACGCCCCGGAGCTGCGCGCTCGCGCAGCCGGACGCCAGCGCGCCCCGCCCGCGCCGCGGGGCCGCCAGCGCGGGTGGCGCTGCCCCGGAGCCGCCCCGGAACCGCCCCGGAGCTGCGCCCGGGCCGAGGAGCTCGAGCCCGAGAGCCGGCCCGGCGCACTCACCAGAACCACTCGCTGCCGAAGGCGGGCACGGAGAACACGCCCCAGTGGATGAAGATCCCGACCTTGGCCTGGTCGAACCAGGCGGGCAGCGGCCGCGCGTCCAGCGACTCCCAAGTGGGGTCGAAGCGCGCGGCGCGGCGGGCCGAGCTCCCGGGCGGCCATAGCAGCAGCGCCAGCGCCAGCGCCAGCGCCAGGGGCGGCCACCGCGGGAACGCGCGGCGCGCGCTCGCCAGCCCCGGGGCCATGGGTCCTCCTCGGCGGGGCCTCCGCCGGTCCCCCGCCGGTCCTCCACCGGGCCTCCGCCGGGCGAGCTAGCCCAGCTGCCGCGCTGCCCGCCCTCCCGCGGCTCCTCCTCTGTCACCTGACCAAGGCCAGCTCGATCAGGTGACCAGATGGCTCTTGATGGGGGCGGGGAGGGCGGCTGTCACTCACTCGCCAGGCAGGGGTGGGAGGGGGGAGGAGGGGGGACAGGGGCAGGCCTCTCTGCCCTCCGCAAAACCCACCCGGAAGTCAGCGGGACCGGCCCCCTTCCCCACCCCCCCACTGTGCAGCGGAGCACGGCGGGCTCGAACTCCAGCCCAGCGCAGAGCTCGGGAAAACCCACCCCGGGCCCGCCCTCCGCCTCTGCCTCTGCCCCAGAGCGAGCTCCGGGGACGGGAGAGAGGACCCGCGTTCAGGAGTCCTAGACTGAGCCCCAATAATGGCTCTCCTCCCCTCCCCTCTCCCCCTTCCCTCCTCTCTCTTCGCCTGAGCCAACTGCAGCCCCAGAATCCTCTAGCCTTTGAAAATCCAGAATGATCTAAACCTGGACCAAACACACGGGCATCTTGTGACGCCCCTTAATCAGAGGTTTGCACCATGGGGCAAAGGACACTTTTCACGAGGTTATTGCCACCGGTCGAAGGTGTTGGCGAAGGCGCAGGCAGGGCTGGGCCCCTGCGCTCTGGTCAGCAGCCTCTTCCCCTGTGAACCCGGGTCCTCCGACACGATTGCACCCTCCACAGCCTTCCTGCGAGCAAGAAGAACGTTTCTTCCATCTCCACGGCTTCCAGCGTCGGTGCCAAGCGGACCGGATCTGCACCAATGCCAGTTGAGTCACTTCCTTCGAAAGCAAAGAAAGTACAGCCGTCCACCACAAAAGCACAGCCTTTAGGAAATACTGACAAGATGTTTAAGGACCTGGGTCCCAAGGCGCCCTGCGTGATGATGCACAGAAATCCTCACGCTGCCCGGTCAGTCTCGGAGATAATAGGGGTTGGAAGGAACACCACAAAGGAAATAAAGAAGAGCTTCTACAAAAACAAACCAACCCGCATAGGGTGCCAAGATTGGAAGAATGAAATCAGGGAGGTGGTTTAGAACGTGTCGCACCGGGGAACTCCACAAGCTCTAGGCTTCCCCTGACCTTTTTGGAATATGACATTTTGCAAAGCTCATTTTTGCACTGAAAGCTACTGCTAATCAAATGATAGAAACAGAGCCTATGAAAGCTTACATCCTGCTTTTAAAAGTTTGAGAGAGCCGGGTGCCAGTGGCTCACGCCTGTAATCCTAGCTACTCAGGAGGCTGAGATCTGAGGATCATGGTTCAAAGCCAGCCTGGGCAGGAAACTTCGTGATACTCTTATCTCCAGTAAACCACTAGAAAATCGGACATGGCACTGTGTCTCAAGTGGTAGAGCATTCACCTTGAGTTGAAGAGCGTAGGGACAGCGCCCAAGCCCAGAGTTCAAGCCTCATGACTGACAAAAAAAAAAAAAAAGTTTGATAGAACCTGGCACTGGTGGCTCACACCTGCAATCCAAGCTACTCAGGAGGCTGAGATCTAGGGTCACAGTTCAAAGACAGCCTGGGTATGAAAGTCTATGAGATTCTTATCTCCAATAAACCTCAAAAGAAGAAGCAGGAGAAAGAGGAGGAGGAGGAAGAGGAGAAGAAGAAATAATAGTGGTGGAGCTGTGGCTTAAAGTGGTACAGTGCAGAACAGAAAGGCTCAGGGACATCACCCAAGACCTAAGATCAAGCCTCATGCCAAAAAAAAAAAAAGTTTGATATAGGATCTAGAAAACAAGCTGAGACAAATCTCTGGCTCCCCAGGTGTTTATGAAGTATGCGGGGAGTAGGCCTCAATAGGGAGGATTGTCAAGTGACCCTGATATGGTGGAGTTTGACTGAGGTCACAGGAGGTACTGGATGAGAGAATGCTGGCGTGTTTGTCCCTGTCATATCACCAGACATCACAGAGACACCTTGGCCAATGGCCACTGTTGGCAACTGTTGATCTACCCAGCCCCCACACAGGAAAAGCTGCGAGTGCCAGAGCTTGCCATACTCTGTGTGACTACCAGAGGAAGCAATGGCATCCTGCCCTTGACGCCGTCCTCAGGGATGTCATTAGCTGTCAAGGAGGGAGCTGATGTGTGAGTGAGCTCAGAGGACGCATTCGGGATCTCTGTGGGAATTGGATGACCGCCACCAACCAGTCCTAGTACTTCCGAGAACTGCTGTCAAGTGGCCTGTGGAAGAAGTGACACGGTCACCCCAGCTGAGAGCAGCCCCCAGGCCCAAGCGTTCCTGCAACAGCCACCCAGAAGCTGCTTCTGCTGAAAAGTACTCACTCCTCAGAGAGGCCTGCGCAAGTGTCCAAGCATAAGTAAAAGCAAGAGAGTCGGGCACCGGTGGCTTCCACCAGTAATCCTAGCTCCTCAGAAGGCAGAGATCTGAGGATCATGGGTTGAACCTCTTCTCCCCCCACACCCAGGAGTCTGAGAGACTCTTATCTCCAACTAACCACCAAACATCTGGACTTAGAATTGTGACTCAAGCTGTAGAGTGGCAGCCTTGATCCGAAACACTAAGGGAGGGCAAGGCCGTGATGTACATAGATAGATAGATAGATACATACATACATACATACATACATACATACATACAATCATGGCATACAATCATGGCTACATACATAGATACATAGATAGACAGACAGACAGATGCAGGAGAAAAGCTTGCCATTTTTTCTGCATTTTGCATAAGTACCCTTCGCTCTGAGCAATTTTCTGTGTTCTCTTCATAGTCACTTTGGAATATAGGAAGGACGGGACTGACAGATAAACATATTCTGTCAGGAATGAAGTCAAAGCTCTCCCTGCCAGGAGACAATGTCTTTTTTTTTTTTTTTGAACACAGAGCCTCACCTGCCCTCCCTTACTTGCTCCACTTACGTGTTCAGCTGGCGCTCTACCACTCCAACCACACCCCCAGCCCTGTTTTTTGCCAGTTATTTTGGAGACAAACTCATGTTGACTTTTCTGCCCAGGCTGGCCCCAAACCTTGATCTTCTAGATCTCAGCCTTCTGAGAAGTAAAGATTACAGATGTGAGCCTCCAGCACCCAGCCGCGACTGTCTTATTATAACAACACCTATCTAGCCAATCCTGAGCAGATGGGCAACTGGATCACTTCTGATTACAGTACACCCGCGATGTGGAGTGTTTAATCACGATGCTTAGTTTCTCTCTCTTGCCCCAACTCTTCCTCTATTTAAACCTAAAGCTCATGCCTGTACCCCGAAGACGGACTGAAGTGCTTACTTTTATCTGATAAATCTCCTTCCTCTGTCCCTCACCAATACTTGTCTGTTCGTTCAGTGTGTGGGATCAAGTGGACAGAAACCCCGGAGCTTGGGTCTGGGGGTTACAATGACAACAGAATAAACCCCATCCACTTCCGTGGAAATGAGTGCCTCCTGAGAGCAAGGGCAGATGAAATGGCAGGAATCATGGAGTGTCTAATTCAACCTCTCTCTTTTTCTGGCCTGCAAGCAAGAAAGCAGAAAGACACTGAGGAATAAAATGAAGAAGCAGCTGCAGGGGGCATAGGGTGTGGCAGCTGCGCCGCCCCCCCCCCCCCCACTCCTCCCAGCATTACTACACACACACTCCACCCTCTTCCCACAGGGCTGTGGCATCCTGGGTAAGGCCTTTGACACACCCCCCCCCCACACACACACACACCTTCTGACTCTCCAGTGGACCTCAGTTTCCTCACCTGGCAAGTGGAATGAAAATAGAGCATCTTCCTCTAGGGTTTTGGTGACAGATTACCCAAAACACCTAGCCTGATGTCATCATGAGCTGGTCTTACTCTAGAAATAACAGGAGTCTGATGGGAAGAAACTTTTCTGACCTGATTTCCCTGTAGGACTCAAGGCTAATAGGCATAAGGTAGAACCCTGTTGGGTTGAGGTGGCTGATTGTTTTGCTTTTCAGTGACTTTGATATTTTAAACCTCAAAGTCACTGTGAACCTAATAGGAAATCTAACTCGAGTGGCTCTCTGCGGTGGCCCTCTTTGACAAGGATCAGGGTTTACAGCTATTCCTCTGAGTACCCCAGCATACCCCCTGGAAGCTGAGGTAGGCCTCACCCAGGCCAGATGAACCGCAGCAGCTTCAGGCCTCCTAGCACCTGGACATCACAGGCTGCTCTCCCCAGCTCCAAGCCACAGAGTGCGGAGACACCTTCAGCACTGACTTGGTTTTTGTTTGTTTTGTGCTGGTCTTGGGGCTGGAACTCAGGGCCGGGGAATTGTACCTAGGCATTTTTTGCTCAAGACTGGTGTTCCAACACTTGAGCCACAGCCCCACTTCCAGCTTTTTTGCTGATTAACTGGGGATAAGAGTCTCATGGACTTTCCTGCCTAGGCTGGCTTTGAACCATGATGCTCAAATCTCAATTCTTGAGTAGCTCAGATAATAGGTGTGCCCGACTTTCAGCACTGTTCGATGTGCTAATGTGCTGTTGAATTATTGGGATTTATCTACTTTTAATCAAGATAAAACAATGAAACTTCCCCCATGGCCAACTGATGCACATACTGGTCTGGCAAACTACCAGGCTGACCAGAAATAAGGGTAAAGTTTTATCTGCATGCTGGTGGACATCCACAGGTAGTTCATGACCTTGCTATTGAGAACAGCATCTGAATCTGTACTACATCTCCCTCCTATGTCCTCCTTCCCAATGTCACCATTGAATAACAATTTCATGGAGTGTCTAATTCAAGGAGAAGACATCTCCATTACATACTAATTCTGCTTTCTAGTGGCTGAAGGAGGACCACAATGTCCTGTGGTCTGTACCAATTCAATGTAGACAGCAGAATGTCCACAGTCTTGGTGAGAAGAAAGAGGGAAGAAGACCATCTCAAGGCAAAGGAGCAAAACAAAGGAACTAGTTTAGAACTGACAAAATTTGGTAAGAA